TCTTCACGTTGGAATCAACATATCAGTAGCGTCGTTTGCTGAGAAAACCATTTGAAAAAGTGTAGTTGACGATTTTAAAACTTACTTCAAAGTAGACCAGTTCCATTTCAGTACAATTAAAAACTATGGTTCGCTCTCCAATCCGTCCTAATCTACTAACTTTCGAATAAAGGAGACACACATAAGATCCACGATGTTTTATGAAATTACTTAATTTTTACAAAGCATTTCCTTAAAAATAACAACATGGACACTTCGAAACAAGTCGGATTTACCGCGCCACCAAAAAAGTTCGTCATTCGGAAGCACTATTCGAATACTTCGAATAATCGAATACTCCGAATGCTAGAATACATTCCTAAGCGCAACGCAAACTGGAAGATCTTCATCAGAATAACCGCTGCTCTAACACTCAAACTCCTTTATGCTCAAAAAATATGTGACTTCTACGTCGTCATTTCATAACTACTAACTGGTACACTATAACTAACTTCACGAATGGAACAGATTTTTGTCCTTTATAACACCTTGAGCTACTACTCATTCACTCTTAAACCGATATCGATGGCACATTTCGTGCTCTAACGTCAGGTGGAAACTTCTGTGGGAAAGCGAAGAAGGACTCCGTCAATGGTGTGAAGATAAGCGTTGCATGCTCGAGTAGTTCACACGCCATCTATACGCAGTCGAACAACACAAGCCGTCATAGTCCTCCGAGAAAAATAACGAGTACCACTTTCTGACTCCGTTGCCACTCAATTTTTTGTTTCGCTGGTGAATCGCTGCGAAAGTTTTTCAACCAAAATGATTTCGTCCAATGTGATTTACCGTGATAATTGTATTTGTATCTACTAGTAGCTTGCCTCTCCCTTCTTTCTTTTTTCACGCCGTTTACTCCATTTTTTTGAGGTTTTATTGTAAATTTGACGTCACTTTTTATAATAACTATGCTAGTGATGTCCTCAAATCGACATGTAGTTGTTTTTCCACCTTGGGCAAATTAAGCCCCTATGCTCCCGGGATCAAAAAATAGTCCCAGACCGCTCTGGGAAAAGTCCCTCCCAATCCAGAAGGTCAGTGGTCGTCTGCGGTAAAAATTTGGTACTGCTCTAATAGCTAACGCTTAAAAGAACAACTCAATTATTCTTCTGCTCTTTTCCCCTGCAGGCAATCCTGCACCTTTCATTACGGAGATATCCAGGACTACTTAATGAGACTAGCTATTTTTGAGCATATTGTGCGAGTTTCGAGTTCTGTACTAGCAACCAACCTTCTCAACAGCTAGCCAACCGGTAGAAACCCAGCGACTGAGAAAAACAAGACAACATAGAACACGCGCTTTCCCATCATCCGCAGTCGAACATATGACTGTGAAGACCAAACCTACGTGTCCCTCCTTAAAGAATTCATAGATGCGCCACGAATATGGCCGAACATCTCAGCGAGATTGGTTTAAGCCGGGAATTTCATTTTTTGAAATTTTTTACATCGTTTATTTTCCAAATCGTATATATCTTCACCTACGCATCTTACGAATTCCGTATATCTTCAATTCCTAACATTCAGTTGCATGATGGAATAGGTCGAGTGCAACATTCGCATGAACCTGTTCTTATCCGTGTTTATGCTACTTGTACCATATTTTATATTTCATCAATAGAACTTCCAAGAAGCGCGTATAACGCAAAGCTTAGAGTTGCCTTGCAATACGCACGTGGTCACTGGTTTGATCTCGCTATCCAAGCTTATCAAGGCCTTGTTTCCCTCCGGGATCAGCAGACGGGTTCCAGGTTTTTCTGGAGATAATAACACCGATAGGCCAGATATTCACTCAATCACCTTTGCAATCCGTGGTGAACTGTAGTGTGTAAAACGTTATCCTTTATCCTTTATCACTTATGATTTTGCTACTCTGCGTTTACAAGCAATGCCAAATCCTGTGCAACACCAAGACCGTCTGTTTTTCACGCAATGTTATTCTACAAGAACGGACTCGAATATGATACCATTAATTATTACCATGTTGGTCTTCTGCCCGTCGCCTACATGCTCATCCCCGAAACAGTTGACAGAACTCTGAAAAGTATAACTATGCTAGGAAGATGTTCCAACCAAGGTTTGATTTGATGTATCACACCAAAATATTGAAATTTCAGGTTTTCAGACGGCATTACATCCCACTTCCATAGAGTTACATAAGAGCTCCGATTTTATTTAGACGGAATCCCTCATGGAAACGTTGAATAAGGAGGGCTTTCTCACAACGCAAAGACATTCTCCATGTGCTTCACAATAACCTTTAAACAAGAATTTCGCTGTTCATCATTATTATTGTCGCAAGCAAAACGATTATACAGTGATATTATTGAGAAGGTCGTGCCAAAATTGGGGTGGAGTAGGACAAAGCGATGTTTGGCGGAAACCGATTTGTCGCTACTACGCATTTATCGCCAATGGAGCCAATATTTCCCACATTAATTGTCTAAAGGATAATGATAGGAACATCAAAGGATGCCCGAACGAGAGAGTGAGATCAGAATTCTGATCTAAGCTCTACGAATGCGAAACTAACCAGACCAAAGATGAGTTGTAATAGGAACCGGTGAACGAGAACGTTCGGTGACCATGTTTCACTGTAGCTGAAATATAATACTTTCTCTGCAAATGACGTGCTACCTTGACGAATTCAGGCTTTGCTGGAGCATTTTGTGATCAATGAGACAAAAACTGATTGAAGCGATGAAAAGGCTTGACGTAACTTTACTAACCTGTATCATCAGGTTTGGTTACGTAGCCAAAATAATGTAATTGCGTTAAGGAACATCAGATACTTAGAATGAACGACCACATGAGCTCTATCAGATACAAATGAGTTCGCTACGAATCACGTGCTTCAGCCTACAATCCAATCAATTATCCAATTTTTCGAGTGGACACGAAGCCTGAGGGGTATCTCACAGGTTTCCGCCATGATATAGGTTAACATTTAGCGAGCTCCTAGTTAAAATTTTCGAACAGCTTTTCAACCTGAGTAACTCAGTTTTATATCATTCTTCGGAAACCAGCAGCATTTCACAGCCATGAGAAGTTAAATAAACGACGCACATGGTCCCACAGTGCCCGGAATGTATCATTCCTGCCATCCGTAAGTGGTCAAAGGATGGATACCAGACTGGTATAGAATAAGCTTTCTCCGATTTGTAGGCGGGCGTGGACGTTTGTAGTAAAGAGTGAAGAAGTCCTACTAGAGCTCTTGGGATCCAGGATGCTACAACTCGATTAAAATTCGACGACATTTATGAAAGCAGACAAAGTCCTCATGTGACAGCCCTACTCACACCCAAATCTGAAAACCTTGGCAATTGCAAAAAAGCGGGTAAAAAAGTGCTTGGATGCGCAGAACACATTAATTTCGGGTAATAATGTCCATACTTGGAGGAAGTGATCATGCGTGAGAATTGCATCCTTAAGGGTCACTTTGTTAAAAGCTTTAACAAAAACAAGCCCTATGCCGTTAATAAACTAAGCTCGGCGATAGAAACCGAAAGGCCACCCATAAGAACACTGTATCCAATGAAAATAATCAGCCTCATATGAAATGTGTCATGCTCTCTCATCCTGCGAAGCAACTGGAGTCCACTGAACAACTGTAGATCTTGAGAGCAGGAACTAACCAAAGTTTGATTGTTACTTAATTATTACCGAGTTTGCTTGTTATACAAGTGAGTAACTTTTCTAGTCTTTCTAAGGATCAAATGGCTGTAAATAGATAAGAGTCTATTTGGACTGAACACTTGATTCTCACCTTTGTTGTCTTGGGACAATCCATTAGTAATTCTACTAATTTATTCTTGGACGCTCATTCAAAGCAATTTTCGGTTGAAAACGATAATTTGTCTTAGATTTCGGTCTACTTTGTGATTCAAGTACTTCATCTTCCAATATAATTAGTGAACAGTAGTCCAATTATCAAAGGATAAAGTATTTGGTGTTCACCGTTCTCCTAGTTATGTATCATGCATTAGGCTCCACTACGCATTGTGGAGGTGATTGGATTTATTTTTGCTCTAGACTGTGGGTTGCAGTGGCTATGGACGTGCTGAAGTTGGTGTTTTTATACTATCAAATAAGTCTGATACCAATTTGCCTGCCGACCCTTTCACTGATGTAGGATTTAGTTTGCACCGGCGCGGAATCGAACCAAAAGGCTGTGTATTGAATGGCACATCCAATCATTGCGCTACACTCATCCCATCTTTGTTATCATTATCCATATAATACTTGCTTACTTGGATACTTGGATGGCCCTTCCTCACTGGTTGTAGGGGATTTCCATTCCACGGAGATTTGCTGGTCTAGCCATTGTGGCTCCCTAGAGTCCAGCGGTCAGCCTGACCAAAGTCTGCCCCAGGTCTTCATCACCAGACACAGTCGCAGCCCTTGTGGATCAGAGGGAGATTTGCCACCACGTGACTAGTTTGGTATAAGGGTGGTGGTGGATCCTCGTATTGGTTTACTCTTGGCTGGGCTTCCTAATGGAATCGCCGGACTCCTCATCTTGGGAGACCCAGCCGTAGGATGGATCTTCCGATGAAATTTTAAAAAGTGCTCTACATCGCATTGTCATGACAGCAATAGACATGAGCGCTGTTCTACTAGGCATCAAAATTGACACTAATCTGTGAAAAACGCCTTCCTTCCCAAACGTTGAATATGTAAACTATTTTGAAAACAGCTAAAGTCTAAATCTTCTTCCGTCTAAAATACTTACTATTGCGATTATACTTCCATGAATCGTTAAAAGCGATTTCACTAAATTGCGCCAAAAATTAAACGGTAACGAAAACAGGAATCCATTAGTGTGTGTTCTTTTGACTTTGTTTTTACAATATTTAATTTTACATTACGGACGTGAGCAATCTTTCTCTCTCTCACTCTCTCTCTCTCACTCTCTCTCTCTCATTCACTCCCTGTCTCTCTTTCCATTTTCAGATCTTTCAATGTTAAAGGTGATTACATTGTTTTGGATGGTTAACGTGATGGAGGGAAATGCACGAGGTAGGTTTGAATAAAAAAGAAGCGACTTCAGATTTCGTCGAACGCAGAACAGGTTCGGTTTAAAAAAAAGAAAAGTTGGATTGATACAATTTATTAGTGGTATCTTTCCCTGCAAAACTGTTTCAATGAGTCCGAGATGAAAACGGTGTTACATTGAGCTGATGGCCGTTCAAGGAAAAATTTTGAAGAGATCATGGAGAGGGTCAAAAGGGACTAAGCGGTCCACATGATTAAGTAACATATTAGTCTATCATTCTTATATGAGAGCTTGAAGGATTACTTTTGAGGACGTGGAGCAGAAATCTCTAGAGTTCAAAAATGCTAAGGATATGGGGTTCCACGATTGGAACCCATGACCAAGAAATGTTGTGGGAACCTTACTGGGCATTTGGCATCCACTTCATCACTGTGTATCCAAGCTCCTTTCAGAAGCCTGGGCTGGTGACCAAGAACGCCGCCTTTACACAAAATTGGTCGACGGCTACAATAAACTGGCTCGACCGGTGAAAAACGAGAGCGAGCCAGTGCTAGTGCTGCTCGGACTCGATTTTCAGCAAATTCTCGATGTGGTGGGTTGTTCATTTCCATTAGATAAAAGTAAACAGTGAGTTTTCGATGCTAATCCTTCTTTTAATCAAAATAACCGAAGACATTCATTTTGCCAAATTTTTAATTCTCAGTAGGATTGATTCTTCAGATAAGCAAACAATGATTAGACCAGAAGCAAGGGATAAATTAATAAAAAAAAAAAAAGAAAATCTAAAGTTGATGACAGGAAGTTGTTTTGCAAAGTGTGGTTATCATGTAAAGTGTTGAACTTTCAGGATGAGAAGCACCAAATCCTGCATTCGAACGTCTGGTTACGCTTGGTGAGTGAAATCGAGAAAGGTTTCGAGTGAGAGTGAGATCGAGATCACTTCGTAAACAAAAACTATGAAGTATTTGGGGAATCGGTCATGAGGTCAAATTTGTAAAAAAAAATTCTTTTTACACATTGTGGGGTTCTTCTATTCCGTTTGTCGGTTCGCATCCGTCACCCACGGAGAACTTCGAGCTTGCGTATGAGCTCTGCTGCTACTTATGAACTTTGTCTTCTTTATTGAATGCCACTTAACAGTGCTGGTCGAGCGTCGTGCTCTTACAATCCGAGGATAGATCTACCGGATCGTTTCCTCTTCGTCTTCACCACAGTGGAGCTTCCGGTTATTATGGAGAGGATAGACCTTTCCCAGACATCTACGCCACCATTTTGCTATCTTTGGATGATTCGTTTAAAAAACAGTACAAGTTTAAGAATAACGATAAAGAACTATTGCAAATGAATGACGAACATAGACGAGTGGATACAGAAGTTCATATCCTTCAATATAACCGTTTGCTCTTCCAAGACAAATTGCTTACTCATTGGCCGGCCCTGTAACGACAGGAGTTGAAGTGCAGTAGTGTTCAAGCCACGAATGTCAGTGTCATAATGGGGCCTATAAGCAGATGCATTAAATGGAGCCGCACATTAAAATGTTCTTTGAAAAAGAAACTTTAGTCAAAGCAAACGCCCTTTAATATGTGCCTCCAGAAAAATTGTCACGATTTTCATGGCACGCATGGGAAGCGACTGTTCATGGTTCTGCGATCCAGACATCACACTGTGTCAAGAAAGGAAAACCTTGACAAATTCGACATAAAGCGGAAGGAGACCGTGTTTTTGGAGAAAAGAGAAGAATGGAAGCATGCGGTCAATATGTGTGTTTCACTGCACCGACGTCGATAAACATGTCAACATTTTTCCCTTTGCATTCAGCGACGTAGAAAACTTGTGCGTCCGGAAAATGCTTGGGAAAATACGACAACGAGACTCGATGAAGTCAGACGAGTGATTCAACAGCATAGTGATACCATTCAACCTTTGAAGCATAGAAAATACAATCATGACAATTTGGACAGTGATCACATTACTAGAGTTTTCTTATTCGTAGAATAAGTGACCTGGACATGCGATTCCGAAGAGTTCACAATAGTTCTGTAACCTCTTCCTCTCTTATACACCTTGTATCAGATTTTATCACTTACTTACACTTATTGTGAATAAAAAATGAATAAATATAAAGCCATAGGTAGGAAAAAATGAAATAGACTACAATGATGGTGAGATATTTGCAAAAATAGGAAGGAGGCGGAACGAAGGACTCGCATGGTGTGGTGGTGAACGCATTACACCCCAGAAAGGGTAATAGCGCGTCCGTTCCCACAGCAGACACTTGCTGTCCGGAGTTTTGCAAATATCTCAACATCATTGTGGTTTAGTCACATGTAATACACTCTGCCGCGAAAAATTGTAATAGACAGTAAATAAAAAAAATTAACATTGAAGTAGAGTAGTTATATGAAACCTCTTAGATAGATTCTTGTTAAAATAAACAGCCGGCTAGAGTTTGCTTGTATCCATATGACACGATTCGGGAGCATAATGAAAAATTCGGCAATTCCTAGCACGGAAAGGAGATGTTTTCGGAGCACGTGAAGAAATGGAAAAAGTTGAAATAATTAACTGGGTTCAATGCCAATTTGTGCTCCCCAGATCAATCCCGGTGACGGATGATTGCTGATGGCACTGATCGATAGAACTAGCTGAGAGATAGACGAAATGGAGGATTCGCATGGGGTGGTGGTGAACCGCTAGTCACCGGAAAGGGTCATAGCGCGTTCGTTCCTACCGCAGACACCTGCGGTCTGGAATTCTGCAAATATCTCAGCATCATTGTGGTTAATGTTTAAACATGTTTCAATTCTAGATATGAGAACAGAATATGAGCTCATGAGAGGAACTTACTCTGATATTTCGATGGCCTCAATCAACTTTTCTTGGTTTTTCTGAAAAATGTCCCCGTTACACTGGTGCACATCGAGAAAACGATAATGTTATCGGCAAAATCAAGGTATTATACAGTTATTCCCACAATGCGTTGTCACACTTTCTTTTCTGAGTGGAGTAAAGGAACGAGACTTTCTTTTTCGCTGTTAAGTCACGAAAGAAGCCGGATAGAGCTTACGAGTAATATGGCCCATCATACCACCGAAGCTACTGATATAATGCCATTTTTTTTGATGCCATCAATGCTCTTCCGAAGTTGCCTAACTTTAAAACAAGACGGAGGTGATACTTCTCTCGTATTCTTTCGACTGTGCCTACGAATTCAGTGCAATCCGTGCGGCATAATCATGTCGGGGTCTTGCTTGCTCAGCAGGTCATATTTCTCAAAAGTCGATGGTTTGAGCAATGAAACGCTTCCTGCTAAGAGGTTGTGAGGAACAGACACTATATCCAATAATTACTTTAACCATCATTCTTCATTATCATGTTCGAAATTCGGACCCAGCAGGAGGTATTCTTAGCTCTTCAACAATGGAGTATTCTGAGGTCTGGTCCAGCAGTTGTTGGAATAGAGTGGAGTAGGGTCGAATATGTTTAAATTTTTGTGGTCATATGCACAGCGAGTAAGGCGCTTGGAGACTTTAAAACCTTTGAAACAAAGACCTCGCAAACCTATGAGAAGAAAAATTTAGTAATAATGGTTGATTCCACAATCACTTATTCGATGAACTGAAGTTGCTCTCCAAGACTGACGGTACTGCCGTGAGTGAACGTCCGCTGTGCATTATAATTTGACATAAGAAAAAGTTCCTTCAGTTTCTATCAGTGATTGGCCATCAAGGAATGTCTCGCACCATGACAATGTCTTCTATGCACGTGCACGAAGGAGCCACTGTTTTCTCTAGAAGTCCTCAACAAATAGAGTGGACATGCAAAAACTGCCTTTTAGTTTTGAGAATGCAGTGATCATAGAACGTTAGAAAATAGAGAGCAACAGGAGAAAGCACAGTTTCTAAAGGAGTTCAGCACGTTGAATTGTATCCACATGGTTCAAAACTCGTCGAAATACCACTCAAGGGGTTGCTTTAGCTTCTTTTCAGTGAAATAACGAAGGTGTCTTTTAGGGTTAACAATGAGTTAGTAAGGAAAAAATCTTAGAAGCATGGACAGCCAGGACGTTCCAAACCAATTCATAAAAAACTTTAAGGGACTTATAGGGCAATGAAGGCAGCACTCAAGAGGATAGGGAACATCAGATTCCGTGAATACCTTCCCGACTTTATGATTCTTTCTACCTTAATAAACGGCTCGAAAATCTCTTCGCTGAGTGAGCGGAATGAAAAACTTCCTAGCACTATAGTGAGATCCATTGACAGGAAATATTACTTACTAGCACCTCACTTCAAGAAAAAAAGAGAAAAAATTCGAAGCTCTGACCCATCCTGAAAGCGTCTCAATGGCAATCATTCACATGAACCATTAGCGACTGGGTAACATGGGATGTTAAGCACACAACAATAAAGTAACCGCAAAGATGACTACAGCTTTACTTTAAAATAAACGACGCTCTTCGTATGCCTCCTGCTGGGACAGTCGAAGATCAGTTGGAGATGGGTAATTTGAGGGATGTAGAGGATGTGATTTCCATCACTACTTCAAAGTTGCACAATTTCTGCAAACCTGATGAGCCTGTCCGTAAATTTATGAATTAAGGCCTCGTTTAGCTCCAACATTTCGAAAGTTTTACAACGTGGGGAATGTCGCCAGAAAGGGCTTGTTTTCCACATCTCCCACTTCTAATTCTGGAAATAGAAACCTCAGATAAAATACAGCATTTTTTCACCTTACGGTAACTACGGTTAGAAAAATTCCAATACGTCAAAACTATGGTGGTTCTTGATTGACGGTTTTGATATATGGTCGACCTCTATTGGATTGCGCTCATGTTCGGACAGAATCCCAGAGGAGGCCTGAAGGCGATAAAGCCGAAAGATCTTGGCATGTGAAGTTATGATTAGGCTGTCCATTTCTCTAATCGACGTTTTTTGCAAGGAAGATGAAAATTGGGATAAAGGAAAGGACTGATGTTTAATAAATGGATTGCACCAGATAACACATAAGCTGATATGTTTGCTTTATAGGGCGCGTGTGGCACAGAGGTCGTACGCGCACTGCTACACACGTGGAATCGATCCCCGCGCCAATGGCTCACCAAGCCTTCTATCCCTCCGGGTTCCGCAAATTGGTACCAGACTTATCTGGGAGGATAGCAGCACTGGTTCGATACATCGTTAGGCCACAGCGAGTCATAAAGGCCAGATATGCATTCAATCACTCTCAAAAGATGCTTAATGAAGGCGAATGCATGGCGAATCTCTCAGGGATTGCTCGACGCCGAGAGCTTTATCCTTATCTCCCTTATGGCGATGTTATATTTTCGTTTGCACCAAAATTTGTTGCTAGATAATTATTTGTGTGAAAGCAATTATCCACGGACGATTATTCCGCATCCAAGCTCTTTTCTGGCTCCACTCCATTAAAGATATGTTTTTTTCTCCTCCTATCTAAGCACCGGCTGAGCATAAAGTCCTTCCGACATCGACACATTATCCACCTACCCCGAATGAAACAGTCGATACTCCAGGAGCTTACTCTAGCAATCTTCCATAGGGGCTTGAATCTTCCAATAAGCTGAAACTATTGCACAGGCAAAATTTATACACAGCATTCAAATAATACCAATCCGCAAACATCTCAGTAGGATTACTAAAGGCTGTATATATACTTTATAGTTTCCTTTTTCCCAAGAGTGCTACTATAAAATTGATAATCTGTCAAGGCTAAGTTCTACCGGAATAATCGGAAATTAAATCATTTACAAATAAATATCAGTCATACTCGTAGAATAGTAGAGCAATTATCTCCTGGAATGCTGTCATAATCTCAACCTCTCAAGCCTTCTAGTTATCGAGAATCTTTGTTTATTGTCAAAAAAGGAATAAATCCGTAATCGACATGAAAGAAGCCTCCGTCGCCAGTTGGTTAATTTGCCGGCCTCAGTGTGATGGGGGCTTGAGCAACTGTGGAGTGAGATTGAACCATGAACCATGTATCGCGGAGCTTCTGCAACAGTTACACTATACGCATTCTAATTCTATTGCACTTACTGAAAACAAGGGTCTAGTAACTTGAGCTTTGATTTTTTTTATCAGTCGCTTAAAAAATTCGGATAGAACTTAATTTTGTCACCTTTCACGAACTTCTTTCGTCAATATTAGCTATGAAATAATAGAACAAATATCCACTGATCAATTATGAGAAGTCTATTGCGACAATGTTAAGCTTTTCTATTCACTGTCTTCTACAATTTTTTGCGACAGGGTATTATGTTTGACTCAACCACAATGATGCTGACATATTTGCAAAACTCCGGAACACAGGTGCCTGCAGTGGGGAGCGACTTGAATTGTGGGGATTTGAGATTCCCACATCAATCCCGCTGACGGGTAGTTGCTGATGGCATTCATCGATAGAACTAGTTGAGAGACAGGCGAAACGAATGGCCCGTATGGTGTGATGGTGAACGCGTTAGCCCTCAGAGAGATAATAGTGCTTTCGTTCCACACCACACCTGTGACTGTAGTTGAGTCTATTACCACATTTGAAAAAAAATATTTAAAACGGGAGAGAAGCTTTTTCTAACTATAAACTTTATGTTTGAGTGAGAACCAAGATTATCTGTTTGTATCACCCGTATCCTTATTATGCGAACATCAGTAAATCTTCCTTTCGTCTCTGCAAGGCATTCAACCTTCGCACGTTCGCTCATGCGAGGCAACAAATATCACATTTTAGTACACTCCCATCTATTTTCCTTCTTTCTGACAATAAGGTAGTCGTCAGCAGCTGACAAGATATGTTGTGCTATGATTTACTTCTCGTGGAGTTCTATATGAAAATCTCACGATCTCTTAATAAATCGAAAGACCGACTTTCTATAAACTTCGGCATAGATAGTTGATATATTTATTTATGTGATCTTATAAACTGATCTTCTTAATCTGACGAGAGGTTGGTACAGATCTTCGTTGTCGTTGCCCTTGTTTTTGATGTTATTGATCGATGGCTGACGTTTCGGCGACTTCGCCTTTCTCAGAGCCTCAAACTTGGGTAATCAAACCATTAAATTATCCAGGTTTGATGCTCTGAGGAGGGCGAAGTCGCCAAAACGTCAGCTTTCGATCAATAACATCAAAAACAACGACAACGACAACGAAGATCTGTACCAACCTCGCGTCAGATAAAAAAGATCAGTTCATAAGATCACATAAATAAATAAATCTCAAGACCGTTCTTACGCCGGAATATCTTGCAAAAATGTTAATAACTCCTATAGATACAATTTTAACTTATTATTTACTGCCTACTTTTTTATGGGCAGGGTATACATTGTGAAATATAACTTCAATGATGCTGAGATATTTGCAAAACTCCAGACCGCAGGTGTATGCGGTGGGGAACGAACGCGCTATTGCCCTTTCCGGGTAGTAGCGCGTCCACCACCACACAAGTTCTTCGTTTCGCCTGTCTCTCAGCTAGTTCTATCGATCTTTTGCCATTAGCTGGGTTCGTTGCCGATTTGGGCCCTCCAGATCAATCCCACTGACGGATGATTGATGATTGCAAAAGATCGATAGAACTAGCTGAGAGACAGGCGAAACGAAGGACTCGCGTGGTGTGGTGGCGGACGCGCTACTACCTAGAAAGGACAATAGCGCGTTCGTTCCCCACCGCATACACCTGCGGTCCGGAGTTTTGCAAATATCTCAGCATCATTGAAGTTATATTTCACAACTCCTATAGAGTTTCTATAACATCCATTTCGTTGTAAGACTATTTATTCAATATGGTGGAGAGAAAAATTTTTTCTGCACAGCAAAAACTGATCATTACTGTAGAAAAAAATCGCTCCATCATTTTGACCCACGAAGTTAGAATAGTTCTACAAGATCTTGCGACGCTACTCCACTTCAGCTCACAACGTACTGAAATTACTGTTATTAGTGGCAATAGTATTATAAGTAACATTACTAAAATTCTTTTTCACTTATCCATCCAACCCAACCACAAGGTGGTTTCGTGCCTGTTGAGACATTTTGTGCTAAATTGATGTTTGCCATCCATATTGTTAAGAGTTGGATTGACCATTATCTAACATGGAATCCGCTCGAGTTCGGTAACATTCAAGAAGTTCGACTTCCGATTTCGAAAATCTGGAAACCTGACGTGCTACTCTACAACAGCGTCGATCAACATTTCGATAGCACCTGGCCAGTGAACGCTGTGATTTACCAGTAAGCTTGTTCATTCATCGATTATGCCTTAAACTCCCGTGCCCTTATTCCATGTCTAAATCATCATAAATAAATAAATAATTAAGCTTATTAAAAATATGTGAAACTGTTAGGGCAGGTAGACCACTGCAGTGAGGCGTATGAATGCCAAGTACCTCTCACGAGAATTGGACTTCACTGGACAATCAGCCGAATTTGAAATGATAGGAACTAAGAAAAACTACATTTTTATCTGCAAAAACAATTCAATGCTTCCTCAACTTTAACATTCAGGATTCTTTTTACCATCATCAATTTTTACATGACCCGCCATCACATCTGTTGTGCAGTCCCCAGCACTTCCCGAATTCGACCTTTTCCTTCGCAACCGTCGTCCCCCATGGTCTTCCAACTTTTGCTTGTGGGTTTTGGCTGATGCTTGACGATTATTCTTTATGTCGGTGAACGCTGTCGAGTCGATTTTTTTTGCAATCTTGAGACAACCGAGCAAAGGCGTTCCCAGATGTACCAGAGGGGACGAGTTTGGCCCAGACAAGTCTGCCATCGACTTCCCGACCTTGTGGGACGTAAAGCTTAATGGGCGCGAAATGGAGTCCAACGAGCACTCTGCTAGTGAAGAACGACACCACTGCCATATCAGCGCTACTAAGGCCCTAATTAATGAAAATACACTAGCGAAGTCCAGAAATCTTAAAGCGATTGAACGTAGACTTTGCCTCACGAACTAGTTTTTTCCATTGTTTAGTTATTATATTCAATTTCATTTATCAACAATAGAAAGTACGCTAGTGTGTTGGCAAACACTGCTATTCAGCACTGGGAATGTCACCTGGATTCCACCAGCTGTGATCCGTTCCAGTTGCAGCATTGACATCGCTTATTTTCCGTTTGACTCACAGGTATGATCATCTGTATATCGAAATTCACGACTACTTACAGGTGTTCTCTAAACGCTAAATATTTATACAGGTGCATACAGGTGTTCTCTAAACTGCAAATATTTATGTGGATGCAATTACTACTGACGTCAAGATGAAAATTTTATGAAGTTTACAGCATTGCTCAATGAAGTTCGGTTCATGGACGTATTCCGGATTTTTTACGGATCTTCGAAATTCATCTGTTTCTACTGGAACTTATCAACCAAATGGAGAGTGGGAATTGTTGGGTAAATGTGATTTAATTTTCCTTTATAGATTTTTATGGGCGACGTAGCGCTATGCTAGAGAAAACGCCGTTCAATGCGCGCAAGGTCCTGGTTCCACTCGAAACCAAGCCAGCTAAGAATCCGCTTCCTCTGTGGTCGGAACACTCATATCAGATTTATGTGGAGAGAGATGCTTCCAATTGACAATAACTGTTGAATTCCTGTGGTGAAGATCTGAAAACGCCCTCTTATGTCTTATCCCAGGGTTGCGGAAGAATCTATTAGATCGGCATTCAACGACAGATACCGTTCTCAAGTTCCAGCAGAACCCACAAGCAAATCTGAAAACCATCGTAAGTGATGGATGAGAATAAACGAAACGAGTAAAAGTAGTCCTGAGATCCGCATGCCATGTGATGAGGGCTCATATAAAAAAATCTTCAAAAGATGCTTCTACATCTGATCAAAGTATTCATGAAACCCCCAGACGGGATTTTACCCGTGTCTTGCGTAGGGCGCGTGTGGCGAAGTGGTGCGAGGTGTCGTACAACGCACAAGTGGAATCGATCCCCACGCCCATGGTCCACTAAGGGTTCCATCTCTCAGGGGTCGGCAAATTGGTACCAGACTTGTCCGGGGTGATAGAAGCACTGGTCCGATACATTGGTAGGGCACCGCGAGTTATTGTAAAGGCCAGATATGCATTCAATCACCTCCAAACGATGCTTAGTGGAGTCGAATGCATAAGACATCCCTCATGGATTGATCAACACCGGGAGCTTTATTTTTATCCTGCATAGTTCGTTATCTTCTATCACCACGACCTACTAATTTTCAGAACAACGGGGTTAAATAAAAATAATGTTGATGAAATAGTTTTATTTCATTCCGTTGTTACATTTTAGAATATTGGGATTGCCTTTCACTTAGATCTCACTTCAAAACGTTCGATTTTCTACTATGAATGTTGTCCGGAACCATACTATGATGTCACTTTCACCATATCAATAAGAAGAAGAACCTTATATTACGGGTATGATTCTACCTTAAAGTTGTACATTATTCTTCGTTGACTTTCTAGATGTAAACAATGATGCTAATCTTTAAAAAGCTCAGCAAATATTGCATAAGCAAATATTTCCCCTCTCCTCCCTCTCCCTCTCTCTCTCCCCGCCCCCTCTCCCTCTCTCCATCTCTCTCACCCATTCTCTGTTGCTCTTTAACTCCAACTCTTTGTTTCTCCTTTAATTTTTAACCAAGTAACTCGTATGATCCCGCATTCCATCCTAAACTGGTTTCTCATCTCTCCGGAATAGTAAAAGCGGTAGAGGCCTTTTCTAGGAGGAAGAACTAGTGACTTTATACAGTGGAACGTCTCGGCAAATTTCTGGGCTGACTAGATATCCCATAACTTCTACCATGGTTGAAGAAGTCAGCAAGTCAACTGTAGGGCAAATCCACCAGGGATTCAACAAAGCTGACCGTTTTATTTACTTATTGCCTATTCTTGCAAATATATACGCACACTTATCTACTTATTTCTAACCATATTACGATGCACTACGGATCTCTGTGCGAATCTCGAGCCGGCTTGTAGTGAGGGTTAATGATACATACACCTCAAGCAGGTGTGTTCGGTGTTTGATGTTAATTGGAAGAGACCGCATATAAGCAAAGATCAGAACTGATTACTGCTTTACTTACTTGAATACTTGGATGCCCCACCCTGACTGATTGTTTGGCCCCCAGCATAACCTTCACTTTTTCGCAGATTTGCTGGTTTAGCCACTGTGGTTCCCTGAAATCCCGAGGTCAGCTTCACCAAAGTCTGCCCCAGGTCGTCGCGACCACAGGCAGTCGCAGCCCTTGAGGATCAGAGGGAAATTTGCTACCACTCGACAAGTATGATACCACGACGATGGTGGGTCGTGATATTGGTCTACTCTTAGCTAGGCCTCCTGACGGAAACGCCGGACTCCCTAGCTTGAGGGACCCTGCCAGGGGATGAATCCTCCTGATGTACATCGCAGTCCGACACCCAGGAACATATCCCACCCACGATGAGGCGGTAAACCGAGGATGACGGCTTTAGAATAAATAAATCCAAATCTTGTTTGAAACAGCTTTGTAAATTTTAATAAGTCGTATTTGATTAATGAAGCAGTTTTGAGACCAACCACAGTAAAATTCAGAACTTCAAGCCCGTTTTTCACTAAAGTGGTGCTTTCTGTGAGACCAAAATGAATCCAGGTGTGGTTAGCGCTTGCAATTCGCCTGCGTGACGAATATTTTTGAACACATACACTCTTATTAATAAATAATTGGCAATGCTTTCGCGTACGAAGTTTGTATCAGACACGTTGATTAGGTCAAAACTCAATAAAGGCGACGACCCGTAGGTGCATGACAGAATATACGGCGTCATCTGCAACGATAAGGCGGCGAATGTACATCCGAAAAGTCCGACAAGTGACTTTTCGGTACTCTTCCACAGAAATCTCTGCTGGTATCTCGTCAAGTCACACGATAACTCTGATTCTCACCACTTATTGACTTATTCCTCCCAACGGTTTACTGCCTCATCGTGACTGGGAGCTGTTCTCGGGTGTCAGGCTGCGATGTACAGCAGGGATTTATCCCTCCGACAGGGTCTTCCAAACTGAGAAGGAGCCGGCGCTTCCACTAGGAAGCCTAGCTAAGAGTAAACCAATACCGAGATCCACCACCATCCTAATATCAAAGTCTCATGGTGGTAAATCTTCCTCTGATCCACAAGAGCTGCGACTGCCTGTGGTGGTGAAGACCTGGGACAGACTTTGACCAGGCCGACTTCAGGACTCTAGGGAACCATAATGGCTTAACAAGCAAATCTCCGAAAAATGAAGATTATGCTGGGGCCCGCACAGCCAGTGAGGACGGGTCGTTCAAGTATCAAGTAAGTATTGACTTATTTATTTATGTGATCTTATAAACTGATCTTCTTAAGCTGACGCGAGGTTGGTACAGATCTTCGTTGTCCTTGTCGTTGTCGTTGTTTTTGATGTTATTGAACGATGGCTGACGTTTCGGCGACTTCGCCTTCCTCAGAGCCTGGACGTACTTTATGTTAGAATACTTTTTATTATTCAGTGGAAAAGAAGGTTAAAGTATTAATGAAGATCAAACTTCCAAATAGACGCCATATTGAACAGAAAGGCCACTCACAGTGATGTTACGTGCGGGACTGGCCCACACGTAGCTCACGCGAGCAAGACACGCCCCGGGGTCAAAATATCATTTTGAAATAGGACACCAGGTCACGCGTGATTGTGAGGCATTCGTCCCTCAAGAGTTTTGCGCGTTGATGTTTTTGATTCTTGCGCTAGGATCCGCACATTCACTTCAAAATCATCGCCGTTGTGCTTTTGTGCCCTATGCGTACCTAGAGGGGTGTTTAAACGGATTTTAGCTTTTCCATCTAGATGTTCTTTTATGCGCACACAAAGTGGTCTACCCGTTTCCCCGATATATTCCTCGCCGCATGCATTACATGAGATCAAGTATATTATACCTAAACTCATGCAATCCCCGTCTCTCCCGTTAGGACAGATCATACAGTTTTCTGAGCTGCACAAACGATCATAGAGACGGTTTCGAACTAACTGGCGGCGTAGGGTATTGGGTGGGATGTCAACAATCGTTACATAATTTTCAAGACCACTTTTTCTTAAGCACTTTTTAATGGCGTGACTTACTTCATGTATAATGTGTGTACAGGAGAAGAGGAAAGGAAGGAATCGCGAAACCTGGCACGAAAAATTGCCATTTTCAATGGCTACGAAGACGTTCGTGGATGATGGATACCAGACAAAGGATCAAACAAACATTCTAGATTTCTAAATTATTCTAAGAGCTGTCACAATAAATGGAATTTACTTACCGCTTCTTCCGTTCCGCTGCATCGAATATTGGTATAAAAATTCTGCTAAACAATTTCCTTTGATCTTCTGGATGTCGTCCAGTTACTATTATAAACATACTTTTACCGCATTAATTATATTCACACCTGTTCCGTATTTCTATGATACTGCTTAAAAAATTCTTTTTATTACCTCTCTTCTCTTAGGGCACGTGTGGCGGGCGCCTTGCGACACAAACATGGGATCGGTCCCTGCGCCTGTGGCTCACCAAGCCTTCCATCCCTCCGGGTCGGCAAACTGGTACTAGACTTGCATGGGAGAATAGCAGCATGACTTGATAAATAGGTGGGCCACCGCGAGTCATTGTTGTATGCATTCAATCACCTCCAAACGATGCTCAATGAAGTCGAATGCATGGCACATCCCTCAGGCATTGATCAACGCCGAGAGCTTTACCCTTTGTCTTTTTTACCTCTCTTCTCTGCTCTCGTTTTTCGAAGTACCGAAATTTACTGAGTTATTTTGTTTCCTGTTAAGGAGTGCTGGATTCATTACGATTACAATTAAAAGAATAAGGCTTCAATCGGCTTTCAGGTTCAATCTCGTCCTGCCATGCATGTTAATTTCCGCGTTGGCCTTGCTCAGCTTCACCTTACCGGCTGATTCGGGTGAAAAGCTGAATCTATGTAAGGCCTTATTATGTCTTCTGTCTTATTATTCTATATTTCTTATTGACACTACTTACTTAGAAGTTAAGAACCAAGCTAGAGTGTATTTCACTACAGAATATTACGACTGCCCCATTACCCTTTTACTTACCAAAATATTTAATAAAAGCTTTCTTAGGCGTTACGATTTTTATGTCGCTTTGTGTATTCATGCTAATGGTTGCCGAAGCTATGCCACAAACTAGTGATGCACTGCCTCTTATCGGTAGTATCATTTTATATGCTTATCAGCACCATAGACCAAGTGAGGAAAACATTCCAGAAGTGTACTTCTCGTGCATTATGTTCGAAGTTGGAGCATCAGTGGTATGTACGGTATTCGCGTTAAATTTTCACCATCGAACCTCCGAAAGCTATCAACCAATGATGCCTTTGGTGAGTGCTCATTTTTTTACACGATCCATCCTCCATATCTATTGCTCGAATCCCAGCTCTTCTCGCATTTGATTCGCTTTCTCGCATCCGTCATCCCCGAAGGTCTTCCAAATTTTTACGTTTGACTTCGGTTCTGTTTAAGGATCTTCCTTTCGTCATGAATGTCGTTTAATCCTGGTCAAGTCGATTTCCACTGAAGCCCTGAGATAGCCGGGTTAGAGCGTTCCTACCTGGATCGCAGAGAATGAACCTTTCCCAGAGAAGTCCGGTACCATTTCCCTAACCCTGGGGGATGAGAGGCTTGATGAGCCTGGAGCGGGATCGAACCAGCACCGTGCTCGTGATAGTCGGCATCACTTCCACTGTCCTACCCACCTCCTAGGCTTCAATGTTTATTGCACATTAACAAGATGGTGACCGCATGCATTTATATCAATGCATATTTTGATTTCCTATATTTGCCGAAAAGGGCTTCTCTGCTGTGTTTTCTGCATGCGATGGCTTATCGAACACAAACCATGTGCACCGTGTAGTCGGCGAAAATCAACGCAACACATAATTTCCAACCAACCTTTTTCAAACGAATGTTCCAATATGTACTGTGCGCAGCAATGAAGCTTACATCATCCACTACACAAAAAACAAAGCCTAACAAAGCCTCTGCTGCGAATCCGCACCAAGTCCACCGACCCTCTCATACATCCGGGATTGATACCAGAGTTATCTCAAACAGGTAGACTCCCTTCAATCTACGCGGGTACGACCGAACATGGCTATCATGGAACTGCAGGAAGCATCGACTCGACTAACATTCAGCGAAATTCGTGACAAAAACGAAAAGTCCCCAAGCTTTGACCAAAGTTACGCGCAAAAATGTTCGAAGATCTCCGTGGATGGTGGATGCGAGGAAACGAATCGAGCGCAACGACTGTTAGGATCCGCACAGTATGATATACGTGATTTCTGGTCATTTAATAAAGTTATACAAAAAAGTGCCTTACGCAACGAAAGCTGCAGTCTCATGTGGATGCCATGCAAAATTAAGCGTCAGTTTAAATAACCGATCTCTGAAAGTTTATAATAGTGCTAACTTTTCCACCAAAGACATAAGCTAGTCACAAAAATTTCGTGTGTAGCACTAATACACGGCGCGTGTGGCGCAGTGGACGGAGACGCCTCGTAACACATACGTGGAATCGACTCTCGCGCCCATGACCCGCCAAGCCTTCCATCCCCCTGGGTCAAAAATTTGTACCAGACTTGCCTGGGAGGATAGCAGCACTGGTTCGATACATCGGTAGACCACCGGGAAAGGAGAAAGGCCGGATACATATTCAATTACCCCAAACGATGCATAAGGAAGTTGAATGCATGGCGCATCCCTCAGGAATTGATCAACACCGACAGCTTTATCCTTTTTATAACACTAATATAAAAAATTAAGGAAACCCAAACATTTCTTTCATCAATGTAACTAGCTTTAACCTTAGCCTCTGGGAAATTCGATAATGTGGTTGAGTTGAACCATTTGCACTTTTTTAACTGCCTTCTAACTAAAACAAGATTTAGACAAAGAAGATACTCCTCGATTGGTTACCTACGCTACTTTTTATGGATCGACCGCCTCCATTCCAAGTAGAACAAAGCAATGGACGTGTTGCCTGCGAACGACATAGAGATAGAAAGTAAAGATTGCAAACATCTTCATCATGGTCGCAAAAAATATTTCTCTTATATTTTCTTACTTTAATAGGTGAGGGTTGAATGATTAAGGAAAACCAAAAGTTCCGTCGTTGGCGTCGACCAGTGGTCTCTCAACAACAGCTACTCTGTCCTGGACCACAAAACGAAGGCTGTTCATCTTGACTTCTGCCTAGGTTCGGCGAATGCCTTTCCCTTGAAAAGATAAAGAGGTAAAGATAGAGAAAACAGAAGGACAGAAAGAGAGAAAGGCAGAAGCGATCCCCACTCCTATATATTTTGTGCCTTCTTGTACCATTTCCGAACCCACTGAGCTGCTGACAATGGATGAGTTTCGTTTCTTCTAGAATTATTTTTCTAATTTTGAGTAACTATTGGAACTTAGAATCAAATTTATAATAATTCTTCTGATGTGATAATCCCATCCTGTGTGTTCTCGTTGGGCAACCCGTGCAACGCCTGACGTCCCTGGGTCATTTTTAATCGAGGCTCGTCGTTCCGCGGCGCGACAAATTACTCTCAAGGGATTTATTTTCAGACCTACGATTGTTCATAACATCATAGCTCCCGTCTGGTGTTTCATAAGCATAAGCACTGCAATGAATCATAAACAGCATCAAGTCCAAGACAGCCTATCGTGGTGTTGCCCGTGTTAGAACGGGCGTATACACAAACAGTGACGACTTATTTTCGATTTGTTCTCATAGAAGGGCAACTTTCTTGACAATTCTTTACACACCTATATATAGCGCCCTTTTCAGAAAACCCAAAAACGCTTTTTGATTTGGTCGCGTTTGCTTAACTGCTCAATTTACTTCGGTGGTTCTGCGATTGTCAAGTTAAACTGCTTCTATCATTCCAATCTATTTAGCTGTCATTTTTCTCAGGGCGTGGCAGTGATACTCGGCACAAGACAACAAACGTCGATCGGAGCATCGTTCCTCTCTACAAGTCACATAACACTAGCAATTCTCCACCACTCACTCATAAGTACACGTTTACAAAACTCATTGTAAGTATTTCAAGACACAATGGGCGCTAATCCATTTCACCTTCTTCATCTATCTATATTATATCCTTGAAAAAATCCTCAACCTATAAATGGAATATCACTAGACTCTACAATAACGAGAAAAGCTAGTGGAGCGCTATTCATATTATCTTCAGAATCCTCCAGAAACAAACGAACGAAAATCTCCGCAATCTGTCGTAACCCGTAGCCTCATGGACGAGCGCCAGTACTCTGGAATACTAAACGAACTGCGTGTGATCTCATCCAAAGTGAGGAAGGAAGTAAGCAGTAATTTCACTACACGGAACAGTAGACGTAGAGGCCTTGGTTTGCTGAAGGCTTAGGATCGAATCAGAGATAAAGTGTGTAACGCATGACACCTCTAATCACTGCGCTGCATACCATTAGTTCCGAAAATGCATTGCTTGGTAGGTATATCTCATTTTTTTTCATATTAAGTGCACAGTTTAGGAACTGATGCATGCTGAACGGGCCGACTGGATGTTCGCATCGATGGTGATCGATCGTGTGTGCTTCATCACATTTTCGTTCTTTCTTATTCTTTGCACACTTGTTTTGTCCTATCAGGCACCGCATATATTTGTCTGATCAGTGAGTTACATACCGTATAATGCCTTCTCCAGGCCTCCTTGAGGCCACCCTGACACATATTCTCGCCTCGAACGCAACGACGGCCGTTCTTCGATTCGCATCGGCACCAACTAGAACCCTTAGCACATCTCACCTGGCTCGTCTACGTGAATAGGCCGGCGTCGCTCTACCAACACTGCTCGGTTCTGTTCCCACAAATGGACTTCACTTTAGATTTTTACACAAAAAGGGGAGCAGGCAATAGATAACCCACGATGATGTCTGCTGAATACGCTGCCTTTGTACTAAATCCGTTCTCTTGTTAAGCGAATATTTTGTTCGTTTACTCAAATGATTCACTTCGTACCATTCAACTAATGAAGAAGGAAACTACTACGAAACCAGGACAACGTAATCAGTCATAACACCATAAGTGAAAACCCTGTCTGCATCGTTTTCGTAGGTATATGTAGTTGTCAATACATATTATCCACTCGCTGAAGATAAATATGATAAGCACCAACAGTGAAATCCTCTTTGCACCAGTAAAACTTCTCCACTTGACCCCGTCGTCTTCAAATCCCTGAGTATATTTTTCGATAAAATTTGACGAGCAAATTTGTCTCTAGGTTCACTACAGCTCAACTTCCTGTATATTTGACACCGATAAATCATTTAAATGAAAAAACTAAAGAAATGGCTAAAAGGAATCCCAAACCTACTTTATTCTGCTGCTTGTCAATAGGTCATAAAATGACTTATGCTATACAGAAAATGAATGAAGAAGTAATCTCCTTTTCTGAACTCATTAAAGAAACCGTTTTTCACAAAATCGGTTCTCCCACACGGCAACATCGACCAACTTGGAACCATCGACTCGGAAAATGCGGCTCTGCGGAAGACGAAGGCGCCGTCACGTTAGCCGAATAGAAGTTTCCATACCATCCCTTGGTCAGCTCAATCATGTAGAAAATTAAGAAATGACGTAGTTAAAGTAGTAAGTCGCTTAGAGGTGCAATGCTTCTGAATAATCGCTGAGCAAGAACCTCCAACAACTGCGCTCCATATGCTATCGGACGTCTATGACGACTACCATCAATCCAATGGTCGCACACTTTCGTAATGCTTACTACTTTGATACTTGGATGGTTCGTCTTCACCGGTTGTAGAGGCTCCAGTACAATTTCCACTCTTCCGGAGTTTTGCTGGTTTACCTACTGTGGTTCCCTGTAGTCCTGAGGTCAACCTAGCCGAAATTGAAGTCGAAGCTCCAGGTCCTCACCACCACAGAGAGCCACCACCTTTGTGCATCAGAGGTAGATTTGCCACCATGCGAGTAGTTTCATACCAGGACGGTGGCGGATCCTCGGTACATATACACGGTATATATATGTACATTTATATATATATACATATGCATATACATGTACATACACATATACACATACATATACATACATATACATGTATGTATCTGTGCATATATATATATATATATATATATATATACGTATATATGAACTGCCAGCACTCTCGAAGATGCCGGCAATCTTTTACGGAACCGTGAGATTGAAGTATCAATGGACATGTTAGAGAACAACTGTTCATTTGAATTGTGAAACAACTCAACAACTAACAGTCGTACTCTCTACAATCTGGGGACAGTAATTTGACCATCACCACTGATCCATGAAGATCAACTCAATCTGTCCCCGAGAACCGAACCATCGGCTAGTCATCACCATATCAGCAACCAGCACAACCACTGCGCTACTGTGCTGATGCCCACTTCATAGAACGACCTCAAACAGTACCGTAGGCCCATGTATTCTTCGCAATTACAAAAAAACAGTACATTTCATTCCCAGGACTTTCCCATATAGAACAACTATCACAGTGAAAGTAGTAAACCATATAGAGAGACGATGGCAGCATATGAATAAAATGTTTCTCCTGCACAGAACGCACAAATACTCGTCAAAACAAATGAAAGAAACAAGAAAATACACATAACGATACGAGATTGGCAGTGTTAGATTGTAGGTTAGCACAACTATTAGACTTCTGTTAATCCACATAGCCACCAAATTCGAATTTACTGCAGTTTACGGCTAAGTCACTCCTTATTCAAAAGTAAATAGACATGTTGTACAGTTGGTACGGCAGCTATAGCCCTTCCTTCATCGTTGTATGCTCGTGTCGCAAACGACAACGCCCTTGCGAACGTGCTTGCAATTCGTTTCCGGACCGGCGACAACAAAATCGCCTCCGTTTCAGGAACGCCAATGTATAGGGAGTACGTTGTGCAAAGCTGTAATTGTACAAAAAAAGTGACTGAAATAGTTAGACCTCTCTGCTGTACTTCTAAATTTGCGACCTAGATAAAATAAAAAACGTAAAATATTCACGAATGAATTGGATCTTTGTAAATTTCAAGCTTTGATTCTTACGTGACAAAGAATCCTCAGTTCCTTTCTATGGAAACCCACTGCTTTTCCCTATCACTTCCGTCAGCGTAGTTTCAGCGGAAATCAAACAATTCGTGACAAAATCACCCATATATGGGTCACACGTGGAGCAGAACGGATTCTTATAAGTGATTTTTTCCACTTGCCTCTTTTACTGAAAAAACTGTCCCCGATATACTTCGTACTTAAGCCTCTTATAGCTCTATAATCTCTCAATGGTTTACCCCTTCACCTTGGCTGCGAAGTGTTCCTGGGTGTCGTACTGCGATGTACAGCGGGGGATCCATTCCCTGGCAGGGTCTCCCAAGCTAAGAAAGAGTCCGACGTTTCCATTAGGAAGGCCAGCCAAGAGCGAACCAATACCAGGACCCACCACCATGTTGGTACCAAAGTTGCACCGTGGTAAATCCCCCTCTAATCCACAAAGGCTGCGGCTGCCTGTAGTGGTGAGGATTTGGGGCAGGCTTTGGCCTGACTGATCTCGGGACTTCAGGGAACCACAATGGCTATCCTAGCAAAACTCCGAAAAAGTAGAGATTATGCTGGGGCCCGCTCAACCAGTGAGGACGGGCCGTCCAAGTATCAACGTGAGTAAATCTCTCAAAGGTTCTAATACTAGGCGCTTCCAATAATAGATGTAGTCCCATAAAAGTCAGAGCAAGTTAAAAAAAGCTCTGAGACGAGCTTTCTGTCTCATTGAGTCTCAAAGCGATTTTATGCTGTACAGTTGGAGTAATGCAAACACTGCAGCTTGTTCAGAAGGTACGATGACTTTGCTATGTACTCATACATCGACGTTTAACGTCTAAGATCTCCTCACATTAAACTGGTCAACCGTATGAATGCAACTAGTTGCTACATTGACGTAGAGGTACTCAACTGATTCTAACAAAATTCCAGTGATTTTCTAAACGCTATGCTCAAAACGATTGGTAGTTTTCAAACACAATAAACTCTTTAGTTCCACATTCTAGTTATTCTGTACAATCCGTATCGTTTCCAATTTCTACTTGTTCTACAGAGGATAGTGTTCGGAGTTAAGTTCTGCTTTAACGATGTGGCATGCATGAAATTCCACTGACGCATAAACCCCGACTGCACTGACCACCTGGAATTTGGTAAAAAACCAAGGGTCTCCTTCGACTTCAAACCAACGTATCATACGTCTTTTTCATGGCAGGATATGATGCGAAATGTAACTACAGCGACACTGAGTTATTTGCAAAACTACGGACCGCACGTGTTTGCGGTGGGGATAGAACACGCTATCACCTTTTTCGGGTGCTAACGCGTTCATTACCAAACCATCAGAGTTCTTAATTTCGCCATTCTCTCAGCAGTGATTGAACCTGTAGCTGATATCAAAGATCACAAAGGATCCGCTCGGTGTGGTGGTGAACGCGTTAGCAGCCGGAAACGGTAAGAGCGTATTCAATCCCCACTGCAAATACCTGCGGTTCGAAGTTTTGCAAATATGTCAGCACCACTGAAATAAAAATGATAAAAAGATCCAAGGAGTTCTGCTCTGCTAAGATGAAATTCGGATATATTGTAGCTGATGAAACCGTTTTCTTTTCGTTTTCCTTCTTCGACACTCGTATTTGGAACACAACAGCAACTGAACAAACGCGATTTCATTTTGCAGGATAGGCTATTGCTCTCTAGTATACCTCCTGTGTTCGAAGCTGCCGCGTTCACGTTTAAAATTTGGAAGTTTAAGCTTCGCTCGTAACGTCTTGAGAACTTTCATGCTAAATATATTTGAAACTGAAACAATGGTTTGTAAAAGTTCCATACGCATTTCAAGTGATAAATCAACCGCTATTCTATAAATCTGTAAGTTCTCAACTCTTAAAATCATCTAGTCATCGAGAAAGCACCATAGGTTTCTGAAGGACCAACTATTGATGTTATGTGTTAAAATCGAATAATCAAAACTTTATAAAGGAGATTTATAAAGGAGAAATTTAGCTACTTAGTACTCACAGTCTGACAGAAAATATGGAAAGACAAAAAAAATCATTTCATTTCACCTCAGGCCATTTCTGCGATAGTGCTTTCATAACAATATTTGATAAATCATTGAGTTTTGCTGGAGCAAGTTCAGGATGCTTCCTAACATCAAAGTCCGGTTTTAAGAGCTAAAAGAAGCGAATAACAGACTACAAAGAAGAAAGAACATCGGTGCTAAATTCACGACCAATTCCTTCACAGTTATAAAAAACATGTAGCCAAATTTCGAAAACTTCTAACTGCAACATAAAACCTTCGTTGATTTCCTACCTCATCTTCAGCCATATCCACCCATTTCAGTAACGGTCCTACGATAATATCAGCACTTATATCAATCAGCTGATTACAACGAGTACGTAGCTTTGTGTCTATAACACGACGAATATCACCGCTTTGCTCTGTGACAAGGATAGGAACCTATAACGAAACCAATTTATGGGCTTGGACATATTTTACAAAGTGTTTATTGAATTAGTGAATGTATCACATCAAAAACATCAACATTCACTGCCCCAATCGACCCAGAAACCAACCGAAAAAAGTAGTTCGAGAAAGGCGTTGTTCGAACTGATTTCAAACCATCGACTCTTGTCGTCCAACAGTGAGCTTTTCATCTTCGCAAAATCTATTGAGCAATCAAGAGTGGGCAGACTAATGTCATTCCTGAATAGATACTGTTTGACTTAAATCACAGCAAAAAGACTTAGAACCCTAATAAGCATCCAACACATGATAAGAGGAAACGAACTTGTATGCTCCCTGCCTATATGGAGTTGTTTGCTCCCTAAGAATAAGCAAGTGCTTGACAAGAAAAAGCTCCGCATCCAGTATTTTCGTATGACTAGTCTTAAAATGATCCTCTAAAACCGAGCACGTGGTCAATAAAACACCTGATTCAATTCTCATTGAAAAAATCCAACTAGGAGTGATTCGCCATGTAGATGAAAAATACCTTCTTCGAAGGGGAAACGGAGATTTGTGAAGCAGCTGCTTCTAAAGAGTCGCAGCACATTGTTAAAAGATCTCGAGCAAGAGATTGAAACACAGCCACCTTAACAAAAGAAATAGGAATGGACTGTTTCTACCAGAAGGCGACAACGAAATCCAAACAAACAGTCCAATGCACATAGTTCCAGCATCATAAAGTTACAAAGCGCACTCCGTAATTTCTACACTGCACAAATTTTTGACGTATAACGACTCTACGGTCTACTCATTAAGTGACGCTAAGTCGGAAACAAAATTATTTAGCAATTAAATACGTTGTAAGACTTACATCCAAACACCTGTATAGCTTTGCAAGGCACATGATCGTTCGTCGTACTGTTGGATACCACAAACAATGAAGATCAACTGCAGAGATCGGAGCCGAACTAGGACGATCAGAAGAAGAATCTTTTTGTACATTACCTGGACCATATCATATAAATCAGATAAACGTACAATGTGGAAGTGCTCCATGTTACGTGAGACAAAATAAAACGAAATAACCATATATATATATATATATATATATATATATATATATATATGTATATATATGTACATATATATATGTATATATATATATGTATATATACATGCATATGTGTATGTACATACAGATATACATAAATGTGTATATATATATAAATATTCTTACGAATTGCGTCTATATATACATATATATGTATATACTTATATATATATATACATATTCTTACAAATTACCCTTATTTCGCTGACGCGAGGTTGGTATAAATTTTCTTATTGTTGTTGTTGCTGTCACCTAAGAGCTGTCGTTTCGACAACATGGCCTTCCTCAGAGCCTGGATGTACCATATGTAACAGCAGCCCCACAATTCGGTGAACTCCATGGTATCAATGAAGATCCAGCATACGAATAGATACCAATTTTCAAAAACTACCCGCCGTAATGTTAAACCAACTGTGTGCTGTTCTTCGTTTTTCAAAACTGGCGTCTATTCAATATGCTGGATCTTCATTAATACTGTGTAATTCTGCTGTTGCATATGATACGTCCATGCTCTGAAGACGGCGAAGTCGGCGAAGCGTCAGCCATTGAACAACGACAAGAACAACAATAAGATCTGTACTAACCTCGCATCACCTAAATAAGGGCAGTTCGTAAGAACATATATACAGATATATTGATTATGCCGAAATTTACAGAAAGTCGATCTTTAGAGTTGTTAAAACGAAACGATACAATTTAAATAGTGTCCAAAGTTTAATTTTCGCAAACATACCTGATTCACAGCTTTCACCATCAGCGACTTTGTTCTTACGTTCCGCCATCTCAATACTTTTCATCATTTCAAGTTTTTCAGGGTATGCTAGATCTCCAGCTGCCGGTTTATAGTTAGCAATATCTGTTTGCCCGTATAAGGATGCTCTAAAATTGAAACACATTGCAATTTTGGATTATTTGCAGCAAAAAGTCTTCTACTTACTGACATTATTGTTGCTATTACTACTTTCATTATTTTATCACAAAGCGCAACCCCAACAGTTGAGACATGAAAGATTGAAAATGTCGAAGTTTATTTAACCCCACGGTTCCAAATACAACCAAGTGCTACATTCTTCAGATAGGTCCTCTTACCTGTAGACAATTCTTTCTGCTACATCTCCAACAAGTTCCTCAATTACTCGAATAAATCCTGATCGTGGATCAAACGAAGTACATTCGTCTGCGAGTATGGAAGGGAACACCGAGCAGCGCTCTTCTATCATTTCAATCTGCACATTAAAATAGAAAATAACAGTTCCCAGGATCGACTTTCTACTAACTTCGGCATTGGAATATGAATGTGTCGCTTTCTTGTTCAACAATCGCGAGGTTTTTAAACAGCATACATTTACTTCCATAGAAAAACACAATACAATACAACGCTAGCTGACGTTTCGGCAGTATCGCCTTTTTCAGAGCCTGGAAGGGTATACTGATATACAATCTACTAGGCCAAACGCTTCAATAACACTTACAAAAAGACGAAGAACTCTGCGGTAATTACATAATCAACAACTTCTTGAAAAAACCCACCACTTTTTCGTGACTTCCAATGAGGAAGTTTAGAACAGCTGATTATAGTCGCATGTGATTGACGACTGCACCATCCCACATCAAAAATCGATGCGAACATACGGGATCAGGTCGCGTATGACCTCCGGACATTCATCCCTGCCTTATTCTTGTTGAACATGAAGGAAGAATAAATATGCATGGCTTGTCCATCCAGCAGCTAATGGCTCTCTTAAAGGAATGCCTAAACTGCTCGATTTTCAGATGGTCTGGGAAATATTTCGCACAAATAAGGGGGTTGGCAATGGGACAGCGATTGACACCAAGCCTTGCCATTGTGTTTATGTCTAAGATAGAAGCCCCCGTTCTCGATCTCCGGCCACTACTCTACTGCAGATATGTAGATGATTGTTTTGTCGTCTTCTATACGCAGGAGGAGATGGACAAATACTTTAAATTATTGAACGAGCAGTCTGTGTACATAAAGTTCACCCTGGAGAAACCGAGAAAAAACTGGCTTCCATTTTTGGACGTTCAAATAAACCTATCAAGTAGCAGTTACCTGACAAAGTGGTATCGAAAGCCAAGTAACAAGAACATTCTTGTTCATTTCTTCCCACCCTTCACACACAAAGAGGGCGATTGTGAGAAACATGTTTCGAACAGCCACCTCTGTGTGCACTACCAGGGAACTAAAGGAAGAATCGCGCGACTTGGCTCGGCAAATAGCCATCTCCAATGGCTACGAAATAGTAACCCCACGAGATAAGTTTACAAAGAGAACGACGCGCCCACGCGAAACACTTGGCCAAAAGAAAGTCCCGTTCATGTTGCCTTTTATAAGCGATGAAGTTAGCGTAGCTATAAAACGATGTTTAAGAAGCGCAGGTCTAGAGGAATCGGTAGCGATAGTTGAAATATCACCGGCTACTCTACGTCGCCAATTAGTTCGCAACCACCTGTATGACCGTCTGTGTGAAACAACAAATTGCGTAATTTGCCCTTACGGCAGGGACGGTAATTGCATGAGTTCAGGTACGATATACCTGATCTCTTGTAATAATTGCGGAGATGAATATATTGGCGAAACGGGCAGACCTTTGTGTATCCGTATAAAAGAACACGTTGATGGCAAACGATAACGAAAACAAAGTACCCCATTAGGCACGCAAAGGATACAAAAGCATAGCGGAGACGATTTTGAAGTAAAAGTCAATAACTTGCACAGGAGTCCAAAACACCAGCGTGAAAACTTCTTGAGGCTTTTTGGATAAATGCCAAAAACCCTACAATGAATAGCAGGGATGAATATCCGGAGGTCCTACGCGACCTGATTCCGTATGTTCGAATCGATTTTTGATGTGGGATTGTGCAGTCGTCAACCATATGCGGCTATAATCAGCTGTTCTGAACTTCCTCATTGGAAGTCACGTAAAAAGCGGTGGGATTTTCGAGAAGCCCTTGATCATGTAATTACCATAGAGTTTTCCGTCTTTTTGTAAGCGTTATTGAAGCGTTTGGCCTAGTAGATTGTTCATCAGTATACCCTTCCAGGCTCTGAAGAAGGCGATACTGCCGAAACGTCAGCTAGCGTTGTATTGTATTGTGTTTTTCTATAGAAGTAAATGTATGCTGTTTAAAAACCTCGCGATTGCTGAACATAGAAAATAACGCCACCTGAATACTACTCCTCTCATTCAACACAGAAAACCGAAGGAATAAGAACCTTGAGAATAGTACACAATTCAGTTAGCGTTTCCAAATGCGGGTTATGAATGACGATTGGACGTAGCATGTCGTACAGTACTCGACAAATTGCCTCTATGAATTCTTCAAACGGATGCAGTTTATCGAGTTTCTGCGGACGTGACGACGCAATTGATGATACAGGACTGAAATATGAACTACAAGACCACTATAAAAATGTTCTCAAAAATAGAGAAGATAACGTTCTTTTATTTACTGCCTAAAACAATTTTTCACGGCAAGGTATTACGTAAAATTCAACCACAATGATGCCGACGCCCTTGCATAACTCCGAACCACAGGCGTGTGCAGTAGGGATAGAAGCCGCCATTACCCTTTCTGGGGACTAACGCATTCACGACCACACCATGCAGGTCCTTGTTTTCGCCTTTCTCTCAGCTAGGATTAGTCCCGTTGATAGATGACCGCTGATGGCACTGGTACATGAAAAACTAGCTGAGATAAAGGCTAAACGAAGGACTGGCACGGTGTGGTGGTGAAGGCGTTTGCCCCTGTAATGGGTAATAGCGGTTTCAATTCCCATTGCAGACAACAGTGGTTCGGCAAGTATCTCAGCATCAATGCGATTGAATAGAGAAGATAGTAGATAGTCAACTCGAGTTAGCGGCTCTGAGGAAGAAGAAGACCTCAAAAAAATAGCCGAATAACATTGCATTTATCAACCTCGTGTTTGGTCATCAATGGAAGAACGTTGGTACATTGATCACGCACACCGATGTTAAAGAAAAGTTGGTTTGCGAAATAGAAAAGATAGTTAAATCAGCTAACTACTAACGATTTCCAAGTACAAATTTCAACGACTACATAAGTGACAACAAGAAATTAACAGATTGAAACAGTCATGAAAAAGCAGCTTTCACAGAAATTTTAGACAAAGCCTATTACCTGCTGCTACGATCTAAACGAGATGAAGAGCGGCCTGACAATTGAGAAGTCGAGAAGAACTGTCGATAGAGTCGAAATTCGTCATCACAAAGTCCAAATATAAAGTTACAGCTCTGGCGTGTTAGCGCGCATGAAGAATCCGGACAGGAACTGAATAGGATACCAAAGGTAAGAGGAAATTTTAGTAGAACAATACTACACAAATATGTAATTAACTAAAATATCACTAACCTGAACATCTGCGTCAATGTTGCCTGTATGATCGGTGTTAAAAGTTGCTGCCTTGTGTTAAAATAGGCTTGATAACATTCATTCAACATTGCTTTAAATTCTGTTACATGAGAAAACCTCTGCTCAGCCACTGAGAGGGCTGCCCTAAAAAAATTGTGAAAGATACAAGATAATGAAAGACAGGGCGTACCAAACACAAAAAACGATTAAATAATTACAATGGTGCTGAAATATTTGCAAAACTCCGAACCAAAGGTGTCTGCGGTGAGGGAACGAACGCGATATTACCCTTTTGCGGGGGTTAATACATTCACCATCGCACCATGCGCCTTTTACTCAGGTAATTTGCTATGCCTCCCAACGGTTTACCACTTCATCGTGGCTGGGAAGTGTTCCTGGGTGCCGGACTGCGATGTACAGCGAGGAGACCTCACGGTAGGGTCTGCCAAGCTGAGGAAGAGTCCGGCGTTTCCATCACGAAGCTAGCTAGGAGTAAACCAATACCAGAATCCACCACCGTCCTGGTATCAAACAAGTTGCATGGTGGCAAAGCTCCCTCTGATCCACAACAGCTGTGACTGCCTGTCGTGGTGACGACCTGGGGCAGACTTTGGCCAGGCTGTCCTCAGGATTCCAGGGAACCACAATGGCTTAACCAGCAAATCTCCAAAAAAAGTGATTATGCTGGAGTCCGCACAACTAGTGAGGATGGGCCCATACAAGTTCAAGTAAGTAATTTGCTATCTATAAGTGCCACTAGCAATCACCTGTCAACGAGATTGGCCTGGCTAGCCCAAAACTTTAATAACCAGTGTTTTCTACATGAACAGCAAAACACTTTAATTACCACATACTTGACAGAACTCGCTCTAGTCGCAAAAACACCATAAAGCAAAGCAAAAGTATCGTCATCGGCTCCACCTCGGCCCAATTTCGCGTAATCCACCTAAACGTAGATCTTCCCTTCCTTATATTTTACTACAACACTGAAATACAATGAAAATTTGAATCAACCAAATTAAAACAAAGGATAAAGCTCTCGTTGTTGATCAACCTTTGAAGGTGCGTCATGCATCTGACTCCATTAGTAGCACAGTTGGAGGTGATTGGATGCATATCTGGTTTTTACAATAACTCTCGGTGGCCTACTGATGCAGCAACGCAGTGCTGCTATCCTCCCAGACAAGTCTGGTACCAATTTTCTTACCCCGAGGGATGGAGGGCTTGGTAGGCCTGTAGCGCCGGCAACGAGCCTATGAGCATTATACTGCCTGTACGTGCACTATCCTGGTTTTTAGAAACAAAAAATCAAGCAAAGTATTCATAATACAAAACCTGTAACTGAGACTGTCTATCTCTGACATCATTTATGGATGCCTCAATATCTGCCATAACACCAACGCGAATCCAAGTCAATGCTCTAAATACGAAAACAGGTTCTTGTGTCAGAAAAGAAATAGAAACTCCAGTCGATCTTTGTTGAAGTAAAACAATTATCTATTCTTTTTAATGGCAGGGTATTTTGCGAAATATAACTTCAATGGTGCTGAGATATTTGCAAAACTCCGGACCGCAGGTGTCCGCGGTGGGGAACGAACTAGATGAGAGACAAGGTAAAACGAAGGACCCGCATTGTGTGGTGGTGAACGCGTTACTCCCCCGGAAAGGAGAATAGCGCGTTCGTTCTCCACCGCAGACACCTACGGTCCGGAGTTTTGCAAATATCCCAGCATCACTGAAACTAAAACAATTACCATATCATTACTCTTTACAGTGAAATACACTGAACAGACAGAAGCTCCCACCTACTAAGGCATTGCTCATACTTAACTATGTACGCTGCAGACTCCTTGTATTCTGGATGCTGACGAAGAAATGCAAGACATTCGTCGATTGTTGCGAGAATACCAGTGAACATTTGACCAGTGACGGATATTTTCGTCGTGTTATTTAACTTCTGAACGAGGAAAATCACAGATCAGTGTGTGTGTTAACTAATTCTGCTTAGCTGCACCTTCATGATGATATCGGCTTGCTTGAAGAAGTGTAAATTCGTTTGAATCTGTTCTGCACCTGCGGCTAATGCCGTCTGATAAGCCAATGCACGATCACAAGCGTCATGAAGACTAGACGTACGAGCTGTTACACTAGAGTATGAGGAACGTAATTCCGCCATTGTCTAAAATAAAAGAACTCATTTTGTTGGCAAACACTTTTGGAGGTAGATTAGCTCATTTGAGGAGAATAATAAGAAAGTCCTCCTAATGGTTTGCCTCCTCATCGTAGCTGGGAGGTGCTCAGGAGATTCATCCCTCTGGCAGGGCCTCCAAAGCTAAGGAGTCCGACGTTTCCACCAAGATGCCTAGCTAGTAGTAAACCAATACCAGGATCCATCATCGCCCTGGTACCAAACCAGTCGCATGGTAGTAAATCTCCCTCTGATCCATAAGGGCGACGGCTGTCTGTGGTGGTGACGACCTGTGGCATACTTTGGCTAGGTTAACCTCGGGACTCTAGCGAACCAAAATAGCTAAAACAGTAAAACCGAAAAAATGGAAAAAAAAAACGCTGGGATCCGCACAACCAGTGACGACGGACCATCCACATGAGTATCCAAGTAGGTAAGTAATAAAAAAGCCTCATTACCTTTTTACAAGCAGTCATGCGTTCTTTCAGAAGTCGCAGACGCTGCATATTTGCACGCAAGGCTACTACCTCTGGCCCCTCCTGCTTCTCAACAAGAGGCAATTCCAAATTTCGAGCCTCGCTAACCGCTGAGCACAAAGCAATCGCTAAAACTGAGTCGCTTGTAACACTTGCCCATTCATCTGAAAAAACAGTATCGTTAAAATTCCGCCAATCTATTTGTTGATATAGCCACTTTTTTATTTACTGCCTATTCCTCTTTCATAGTAGGGTATAATGTGAGATATAACAGCAGTGATGCTGAGATATTTGCAAAATTCCGAACCGCACGCGCCTGTATTAGGGATCGAACACGCCATTACCCTTTTCAGGGTGAGAATGAAGAATGACGTGACGGTGAACAAGTTAGGCCCAAAAAACTGTAATATCGGGTTCAATCCTCACCGCAGACATCTGCGGTCTGGAATTTAGCAAATATCTCAGCATCACTGTGTTTATACTTACAGATATTCTTACAACCGAATAAGCTACAGCATCCACCTGTGTCTTCACTATCCTCAATTTCTGCAGGTAACCCATATGCAGCAGCTTTAGACGTTAATAACTCCACAGTTTTCAAATGAAGTTGCTCAAACTCCATTTGATAATCACAATTCAGCAATGAAAGGCCTAGTGCAAATAATTACACAGATACACATATTCACATACCCACACATACATGCACGTATATATACGTGTATATATACATACACGTATACATACACATACAATAATTACACAGAATGACACCAATAGTACAGAGGTATTATAGATACTAAATAACTACTGAGTACATCTTTATATAAACTCAGCAATCTTCTCTTGTTTTGCGAAATATTTATTACTCAAGAGATCATCAACGACTTCATATCCTCACAATGACAATCAGAATCAAAGGAAAGAGGCACAACATGTAAATTACATAGAAAGTACAGATAGAACAACGACTTTGTGTGCAAGACAATCACCCAGGTTCTTCACAAGGTATTAGAACTATTCTTCAGTCGACGTAACGAAATCGTTCACTTCGAACCTAAAATTCATCAAGTGCACTTAATATGCACTTAATAGACCCAGATTTACTGATAAAAACAGTTCAATCCAAGAATGTTCCAAGAAAGAAAGACAACCCAGCTGGTCGCTAAAAATACGACCTAACACTTTTGTAAACTCACCAGTTCACAACAACATTAATTGTCTCTCCATCGTTGCACATGGAGGGTTACTGGGCACTACACTAAGATGCACAACAGAACGCATCCATTAGGAGAGTATGCAAACTGAGGAGTTAGGTATTTCCTCCCAGAAATTCAGCATAACCATAACGGACGCATAGCGTTTAGCGTGGCTCTCGGAATGGAATAGAAGCAATCCTTCTTTGGACTAGAGTTTTTTGACAATAACAAGGAAAATTTGAAATATGTAGAGTGCTTTAGGTGATGAGAACATAATGGAATTGTAGAAGAGACTTTGCTCTATAGTTCTACGGGTATTAATGATGTAAATGCTAGTATTTAATGTGTGTTACCATGGTCCATTATGAAAATATACTGCCTCCTGCACTTGGAAGTACTTTGCAACCATGTTGAGTACATTTCGGTGTTTTCACATCCATACATTCAATACGACTATTGTGATTAAAATGAAACAACAGCTGGTTGTTAGTCAAATTATGGATTAATGAACTTTTACGAAAAAAGGTTTTTTGCAAACCACCGAGGTTAGAGCGTTTCTGGTCTCATTTCCGCTATTCTGATCACCTTTCGATTACGTATCACTGAACATACACAATGCGGTAAAAAAAAACTCTGCAACATATTGGACCAAAAATGGACACTATGGTGTCCATACTGTCTGTCCCCTGTGCAAAACGGCTATCGACATTACAGTGTCCATACCGGGTGCTCTGGGTTATGACAAGCCTATCCTGGAGCAAATGCTGGGGAAATATCAGTGCGCAACACAAAAAATAGTCAGGTGTTTTGAATCAAAAGTATGGCGCTTTTCGGATACTTGAAAGAAAATGGAGCTCACTGGAGGACAGCCCTGGTGTGGGACAGAGATAAGTGAAGACATTAGAACTCTCCGTTCTTTGAGCTCAGCGAAGCAAATATCAAGCCAATGTTGGTACAAGTTGTTAAACGAAAACAAAACCAAAAAAACACTGTATACTAAGTATAAAACTATACCAGGACAAAAATCGTTACCTTATCTCTTTCTAGATTGCTGACAATTAACAATAAATTAGTATAAAACGATTTATTCGGCTAGCGTTCTTTTCAGAAGACGATGAAGACGTCGAAACGTTAACCGAATAAACCTTTTATAACGAACCTCGTGTTAGCTTAGTAATTTAGAAGAGTACTGATCGTGCTCGCCGATGTTTGAATACCGTCTAATTCCATGACGTACCTTATATTTTCCATCCTCGACCATTAGTATGAAGACATGCGTGAAACCGTGCACTGTGCCTCCAAGGATGACAGTGCCTGCAGTTGTGATCGTGAGCAAATCCGTTGATCCCGGAAGACCAGCATTTATGCGTTGCACGTCCACAGACACCAAGTGATGATCAGTCTCCGGTAGTGACGAAATAAACCTGGATTAAAAAAAGATTCCTTCCAGGATGCTTCTCTACCACTGCGCTACACGCACCCAACGAAGCCGGAAAATCGTTTAAATGACAGATTTCAACAATACTCTTGACGAGTGAAGTTTTCGTCATATTCACGACTAGTGTATGCGTGAATATCTATGCAACATTTACTCGTTAGAAGTTGTTTAGACCATTTCTAGAAGAATTTGAGCAAGTTGAGACCAATTTAATACAAAGTTGAAAAAAAAGCTCTCAGCGTTCATCAATCTCTGAGGGATGTGTCATGCATTCGACTTCACTAAGTATCGTTGGAGGCGACTGATAGCATATCTGGCCTCTACAATGACTCGCGGTGGCCTGCTGATGTATCGAGGAAATGTTACTATCCTCCCAGACAAGTCCGGTACCAATTTGCCGACCCTGGAGGGATGGAAGGCTAAGCCTGGGGGGCAGGGATCGATCCCATGTATATTCAAGGGCTCTTCCGACCACTACGCCACGCGTCCCTAATTTACTATATAAGGCATTGATCTGAATAATCCAAAGGATCGGAGAAAATGTTGATAGGCAAACTGTAGAATGACAGCTACTTACTTGAATATGTTGTCGCATCCCGAGACGGGATTGCCGTTCCAAACTAATGTCGCGCCACTGTCACAGTACAAATAATTGATCTTCTCCCTCTTTCGATCCATAGCATCGTAAAATATCTTCGTAAAATTCGAGGCTTCTTTACAGATCTCTTCGTCCGCACGGTCCGCTTCTGTTCCCATCACCTAATCTTACATTTTTTTTTTTACATTTTAATTGCTAGCAACAAAAACCTCAGAAACAATTGCTCAAGCGAACGTAATGATCGTCGAAAAAGATGACAAGTCGAAAATCTAAAAGAAAAAACACAAAACCACTTAGTAGAACATAAACTAATGAAAAACCTCTAGCTCAGTGAGTAAACAGGAAATTCAACCTTATGGAAAATGCTTGAAGTAAGCTACCAAATCGGCTAACATTTCAACGTCTTCGTCTTCCTCACAATTGATGATCCGAGCCGATAGTGTGGAACTATTCATTTCAGTGCTTCGGCAATGAAGAAGATCCGTCTCGGTACGACGACGAAGACACTTCATTCAAAAAACGAACGACTGTGGATCATCGTCTCAGATCATCGGCTCCAAGGTAGGCGAAGACGTCTAAACGTTAGCTGAATAAATCTCCTTGCCAACCTTTTGTTAGCTTAACAATGAGTCGAGGCACATTGGTCATACTAAGGTTTAAGGAAAGTCAGTTAACAATGTTTTAAGCAAGCTTCCAAGATGGAAGCTACCCCGGCAATCTTTCTCGTCGAAACAATCCGTTTCAGTTAGAGCTCTTAAGTTTTAGCTTTGGTTAGACTACCTTTAATTTTAACTACTTTAACTGTCATTAAACCTTAAGCATGTTAAAGAATAATGTACAGACGCATAGAGATAACATGAAAACCACTTCAATACAAATTACTTCTGTAATTTATACAGTCAACTACATAAACTGACCGAGAATCCTTGAAAATTTACGGCAAAAATATTCCATGCAGAGTTAACCAACGTGACCTAATCCGAATATTTTGACCTATTTGGAATATCGCGTGGCAACATCTGGTCCAACCTAATCGGTCCAAAACCTAAGATCGGTTCTGTTCTGGTAATATCTTCTATTCAGTGCTAATAACTACAATTACAATGTTCTTACAATCTTTTTGACACAAACCAAAACGAAAACCCACTAAATTGAGGGTCTTTAGGACTCAAGATATAAAAATTCCGTAGTTCATTCATAAAGTCGTGTTCTTTTAATCTTTCGGAAGCTCGAAACGGCGAAAAAAATAATGAAACTGTAGGAGAGATGAAAAAAGAAGTGCTCCACGTTAGAAAAAAGTGGTTATAACCAGATAAGCGAAACAAAAGTAGTGAAATTGTCATATAATGGTTATGTAACCAACAACGAAGAATTCTGGCAAGAAAAGAAAAGAAAGCGATGAAAAAAAGGAAATGAAAGCAAAAAGAGAGGTGGAAGCTGCCGTTACATAGTTTGAGTAACTCACAATACATCATTTTACATCAAGCAAACTGTATGTGCATAGCAATCGTTGTTTAAAGTCATGAATGATAAGGTACGCAGTCAGGACCAAACGCTTTTACGACGGCCTTCATTTTAAAACTCAAGGAATAGGTAAAACCCACTACCCTGTATTGATCCACATTTTCGCAATTGACTTGAAGTGATGTAACAGTAACATTCAGGATGGGATCCTCCCATAACTCTCAAGTCTTCAAGATCAGTTGCAGTAGACTAAATGAGTCTGCTGCCAAACCTTGTTATTATCCTACGTGTTCACCACCAATCCCGTTGACGGGTGACTGCTGATAGCTCCTATAAAACACGACTAAGAGAAAGACGAAACGAAGGACACGTATGGTGTGGTGGTGAACACGTTCGCCCTTGGAAAGGGTCATAACGAGGATCGAACCCTATCGCGGCCACCTGCGGTCCGGAGTTTTGCAAATGTGTCAGCAATATTGTGGTTTCAGGATAGTTTTTATTTTCCTTAAATTTCGAGTCTTTGATAATCTATGTTGTTAACCGTAGATTTCTGTTACCAAGTTAACCAGATAGATCTACAATGGCTATACCAGCAAAACTCCAAAGAATGGGAAATATGCAGGGCGCGCACAACCCGTGATGACAGGCCATCCAAGTAAGTATATACAATGTAAATAAACCACATTCCATATGAATATCGAACCACGTTAAACATACCGATTATCCTTCAGTAACTCGTTGACAATTACTTTATCAGAACAAACATTGCGTAACACAGAGGTGCTTGGGATAAAGAAAGCATGCAAACAACAATAAATTAAGGTATTTTTAATACTAACACTTCTATGCTAAACGTACTTACATGTACTATTCTAAAACTGTACAAAAAAGGAACCGGAATGCGAAACATCCACAAACCCGTCCTTAAGACAGAAAGGCTAACCTTCCTGTGTAAAGAGGTACAATTGCACGACTAAAGTAAACGATTCCTCCTCAGTTCGTCTTCTTCGCCTTACCATTATTACGTGGAGAACTTGGCTTCGGTGACTTCTTTTCGTTATGTTTGAGAATTTCTCGAGGTATCCATTCAAAATCAACTTCCGAATTGGTCGTCCCTTGCTCTACGACCGGCTGACGCTTCTTTTGCATTCCGGCCTTACGCGTAAACTGAAAACTAGCAATGATAGATGTCGAATAATAGAGAAAACCAAAAGATAGTGGAAGCAGCACGTGAATTGTAGCGTATGATATCACCTACCTTATTTATAAAGTGGTACCCAACCAAAAGAAGAACAACAATAAATGCAGTAAAAATTAAATACATGAAGCCAGTCTCAGTGTTAAATGCAGAATCGTCTTCGAGAATCGTAACTGTCTCATTAAAGACGTTGGTAACATAATGTCCCTCCTGTAAGTTAATAAATCCTCTAGTACTCTTGGACACTCTAAAAATAACCTCATCTTGGAGGTTAAAACGAACAAACTTGGTAAAAATAAAAGGATAAAGCGCTTGGCGGTGATTATTCTATCAGGGATGCGCCATACATTCGATTTCATTGAGCATGAATGGAGGTGATTGAATGCATACCCGCCCTTCACAATGACTCGCGGTGGCTTACCGATGTATCGAGCCGCGGCTGCTATCCTCCCAGACAAGTCTGGTACCAACTTGCCGACCACCGAGGGATGGAAAGCTTAGTGAATCTCGGAGGCTTGGATCGATCCTATTTATATTGTGGAGCGCCTCCAACCACTGCGCAACAGGCGCCCAACAAGCTTGATACATATTTTAAAAAGGTGGTTACGTTCTTTTGCGTTAGTATTAACGGCAAGCGACAATATACATAACAAATTCTAACTAACCGAATCCTCATAATGGAGGTCTACGACAAGACCGAGAGGCCGACCAGCAAAACTTTCATGAGCAAAGAACGCATAGTCAAGAGTGACTTCCTCTTTAGGCGCAACACGACGATTATACTGACCAAATGTGAACTAAAACAAAGAAAAAATGAAGTAGCGTAGAATTAGCTCGCCTCGAAGCTAAAGAAAAAACTGGATGATTGGTGAACTCATAAAAAAACCGAACTATACGACTTACATTTTGAAGATTATAACTGAAGTCCATGGGGTATCGAAAAGAAGTTTCCGAATGTTTGACAATGAAATCTTTCTCGCCCCGATTTTGAAATCCAATCAGAAATTTGACGGCCTTGCCACCATACAGCTCTGAAGAAATCGTACATGCAATAATTTTGGACATATGAAGCATATAACACTCACATTTTGACAAAAACTTAGCGTTAAAAGTAAAAGTTAGGACTAATGAGTGAACCTTTGGCTGTATTTGCGCTGTAAGGTTGTGTGAAAATGAACGACACAACAGCATCGGCCGAAGATGTGATCAGTAAATCATCATCTTCAGTTTTCGCCATATCCTGCTCTTCCGACACCTCGCCATCAACAGAATCTTCGGCGTGGACAACGACTGAAATGTGAGACGAGCTAGGTTATGAAGAGTGAAAATCACCAGCAGGTCTTACTTGAACTCGCTCCGTACAACTGTACACTATGCTTAATCAAATTCGTTAACAAACGGCCTTTTTTTAAGATGAATCATACATGCTAAACTGCGAAACTGCCCTTTAACATAGTTTTTACGAGCTTTTCTCTTTTCTTTTTTTTACGAAGAGGTCGAAAAGTTAGAAAACTAGGGGTTACATACCAAGCTCGTGTAAGCTTATCAAAAAAAAGAATACATATTCTTTAACATTGTATTCATTCTTATTAAGATCTACTACCTTACGGACCCGTCGAAGTACTCTCGAATGTCGAACTACAATACAAACTATGGGTTTTATCACCCCACGGTCACCTTAGCTTAAGAGAAGTTAAAGAAGAATCATGCGATTTCTACCTGAAAGAAACCTAGTCGCAAGGAAGCAAATAACCTTGGGATAGAGAGGACAGAGAAGGGGAAGGTTTGCTCAATTGTCAAAATCCCAGTCGGACAAGAAGCGGGTCGTAAAAGTCGTCATAAAGATGAGTGATCGAGGCAAATAGTAAGTAATAGTAGTAGGAAGTAGTAAGTAAGTGTAGTAAGTAGTAAGCAAGTAGTGTCAGCATGGTAACTAGTCAGTATTCTTTAATAAAGCCAAGGAGTCTGCGCAAAACAGTTTCTAGAAATGCTTAAATGACCTAGGTCATCAATCAAACGACAATATACCTGATCAAACATACCTGAGCAGAAGGCTAGAGTTCCAAGTAGGGAAAGCAACGTGTTCCGCGAAACCATGCCTGTAAGGGATCTTCGTAACTGACAAAGAGAGGCTAAAAAACAAGAATCACGAGACAAAAACGGTTCTGAACACAGCATAAAAACAAAAGGACGGTCTGTTCCGTGTTAAGTCTCCCGACTACTTATTTAAATAGCCCTATGGTATCAAAGAACGAAGCCAACGAAAAGCGCAAAACACAAATCCGGCCACTCCCCCTCCGCACCGTAATTCGATACTGAAGAACCGAGCTACAAACTAGCGGTGTGGGACCTTTGCGCCGCAAACTGATCCGCTCCTTTAGTGGATGTACACGTTCAATCTCGGTGTGGTATTTGGTCCAACTAACAGACCTTTATGTGAGATACAGCGACAAAGGTGTTATGTTATGAGCAAAACTCGGAACCTCAGTTGGGTTTCGAACGCACGATTGCCCTTTCCGGGGCTCACTTGCTATCCTCCACACCAACCGAGGCCCTTGCTTCGCCTTCTTCTCAGCCAACTTTTTTACCCTGATGGTGCCATCAGCAATCACCTGTCAACGGGAATGACCTAAGGAGCACACATAGGCATTGAACCCAGTTAAGCTGAAGCTGTCCTCGAAATCAAGAAGATGGCAGAGAAAAGTGCAACGCAAGGGCATCGGTTTGTGTAGTGGATAGCACATGTGCCCATAAAGTTCAATGGTAGGTTCGAAGCCCAATAAGAGTCCGACTCTTTCTCATATCTCCTTTTTCTTGTGCTTGTCTTTTACTTAATATCCTGCTATAAAAAAAAGAATAGGCAGTTAATAAAAGTCAAACCTTATGATTTTAGTGTATGACTTTTATCTAATGCCCATTATTTCTTTATAGGAGGGTATTATGTGAAATAGAACCGTAGTGATGCTGAGGTATTTGTAAAGCTTGGACTTCAGCCCAGATCGAATCCTCGGAAGAGATGATCACGGTTCGATCTGGCCTGAGGTCTAAGTTTTGCAAATATCTTTGCCTCATTGTGATTGTGATTTTAACTAGCGTCTTTGCTCCGGTATGTTCAAAAAACAGAAGTTGTAGAAAAACCTTGTTGATTTTATAGCTTGATCAACGTCGATTTCTTTGCCCCTCATTTATCCTTAAAGCACACTCAGTGGTTCTCTCAATGGTTTCCGCCGTCTTTTGTGTCGGTGAACTGAAAGGTACTGTGAGCGGTAATCTCTCGACTGGATCACCCAAGCTGACAACCTATGACGTTTTTACGCGGAAGCCTAGTTAAACTTAGAGCCAGCAGACAAGCTACTCATGGCTATCTTGTCGTCAGAAAAGACGGTAAAGAAGGACGACGTGTCGAGGGTTTGACGCGCTTCGTGTTTCTTGACCAAGAGGAGCTCCTTGAGCAGCTGCCATGCTCGATGGGAAAATGTGGAGTTTAATGGTGCGTATTTGAATTTCTCGATTCCTAACGGGATTACACACTGCAACAATGTTGAACTGCAATTTACATAAGTACTTCCTGGCCAACTCCACTCGTAGAGTAGGAACAATTCTTGTGGTACAAAATTGAAAGCAGAGAGAGGTCACAATATGAAGCTAGAGATTAAATGTTAGTGTAATGACGGGTGATGGCTGATCAAGTGCTTACTAATGCTCTTCTGGTGTGGAATGTTAAGTACCGTGGTAGGTTATCTCCATAGAAGTTGATGCAGAAGTGTTTGTGGATGATTTGGGACAAGTAAACTGCCATCGCTGCTCAACACGTAAAGCTTGTACATGAAAATTAGAATCCGAGGATAGGCCTACCAGGTCCTCTCCTAGTTTCACCACAGAGCAGCCGCAGGCCTTTATGGAGAGGAGGAACCTTTTCCAGTCATCTACATCATCATTTTGTCGTCTTTGTATGACTAGTTTAAAAAACAGTTTAAAGGCGCATATGACGCTGTGGTCGGAGGCGCCCTGCAATACACATGGCATCGACCCCGGCTCTCGTGGCTCACCCAGCCTTCCATCACTCCGGGGTCGAAAAATTGCTACTAGATTTGCCTGGGAGAGAATTGCAACACTGGCTCGATACATCGGTAGGCCACCGCGAGTCATTGTAGTGGCCAGATATGCATTCAGTCACCTCCAACGATGCTTGATGAAGTCGAATGCATGCTGCACCTCTCAGGAATAGATCGACGGCCGAAAGCCTTAGTCATTTATTTAACACAACGATACTGTCATCGGCGAAGAAAGATGGTCCCGACGGGGCGGTGCCATTTTGACAAAATTATTTATAGGTCTTCACCAGAATATTGTGAGAAATTTAGAGTGGGATAACATGGGAGTGAAACACAATAGACAGCAATTACACTACCATCACCTCGTCCGATGAAGTCGTGCCCATAACATTTCGAAACCGACCTTCCCTAAACCTCGGTGTGATTAATCAATATGTATTCTTTCTTGATAAGCTTACACGAGGTTGATAAATATATTTATTTTCGGCTAACGTTTCGACGTCTTCGTCTTCCTCAGAGCCGGTGATCCGAGTCGATGGTCCATGCTTGTTGTTCGCCTCGACGTTGCGTCTTCGTCTTCGTGTCGAGCCAGATCTTCCTCAGTGAGCCATCTTCTCGAATGAGGCATCCTCACTCAGTGATGCCCTTTTATACACGATGCGGATGGTGGATATATAATGACAATGTCCGGTGGTAACAACTTGTATTTCTTCCGGATGTCCGGAAGAAATACAAGTTGTTACCACCGGACATTGTCATTATATATCCACCATCCGCATCGTGTATAAAAGGGCATCACTGAGTGAGGATGCCTCATTCGAGAAGATGGCTCACTGAGGAAGATCTGGCTCGACACGAAGACGAAGACGCAACGTCGAGGCGAACAACAAGCATGGACCATCGACTCGGATCACCGGCTCTGAGGAAGACGAAGACGTCGAAACGTTAGCCGAAAATAAATATATTTATCAACCTCGTGCCCATAACGTCAATCATTAGCTGAAGGAGAGAATGCTGCCAGATTTCAAAAGCGATTCTGGGCAGATTCGTCCTTGATTGGGGCATAACAACACGGTGATGAGGTCGTTTATATTTCCACATTCACTCCCAACAGAACAAATATCTCCAATTGCCCCAGCATGTCAGGAATCATATAAGCCAAACACTCAATGCCTGGAAACGATAACCTAAGAACAAAAGTGATTGGGTCCAACGGGATGTCATGAGTTACCCTGACGCGCAACAGGGACGAGAGCGGATTGTTGAAGCCCGATTAAGTCACTCGACGATTAGTGGTTGGTGGACAGTTGGTAAAAACTGGGCAAGTGATTTTTGCATGCATCATTTTCATGCAGCTAATTCAAATCCATTGACGTTCGTGAAATTATTCCAGAAGTTCTAGAGGATGAATTCAACTGTCGACTATTAAACATTAAGCATAAATTTGCTCTGACGTAAGTTTGGCTCCGAGGAGTGGTGCTTCATCTCTATCCATTTCCTCATTATGCGTTACAATATGATCAAGAAACAAATCGTTTTTATTGCACAAGAGAGTCGCGAAAATCGTGGAAGAGCTTTCAAGTCGCCAATTTCTTTTCGAATGTGGTCCGCGTGTAGCGCAGTGGTTAGAAGTGCCCGGCAATGATACACCCATTGTGCTTTGTTCGATCATACTCCAAACCCAACCAAGGCTTCCATCCTTCTGAAATCAGAAAATTTGTAGCAAACTTCTACAGAAGAAAAAAACCAATTGTCCAGATATTCATTCAACAACTTCCACGATGCTATGAATGGGATCGAATGCGTGGCGCATTCTGTGGGATTGAAGAACGCAGAACACATTAGTGTTTATCAGCAAGTTTTCAAATTATTGTGTGGATGTGTGGTATAAGTGACGTCTTTAGTTCACCGCATTCTGTCTCCTATTCTCCTCATCTTCCAGACATTCATTTTCCTCTGTAATGAAGCTCTTGAAATCACCATCGTGTGACTGTGAACTGTTGCCTGTTCAGTTGGAATTGACATGTTGTGACATTTCTAGCGGAATCTTAGGAGTCGTTTCTTTACCTTTTTTCTTTAAATTATGCAAAACCCTGTTCGGATTTACCCATTTTTCTCTCAACTCAGATTAGCAAATAATGCTTGTGATTTTTCGACCGTTAGAGCATTACAGGGGTTCAGACTCTCGTAGGTTTATACTTTACGGAACAGACATTGCTGTGCCAACAAAAGCCGATATACGACTTTTGTGGAATACTACATAGCTTTGAACTAACTTACAACTAAAATTCTCAAAAAACCGAAAACGAAATTAGGAGTTTTGGAATTTTCTATAGAAATACTATGCAACCGCAAACTCTGATGACACATCGGAGAACATCATTACGTCCTGCTGGATAAAATCCCTCTTCTTCAACTACTTTCGTATTTGAAACACGAACCATTATTGAAATAAAGGATAAAGGATAAAGCTCTCGGCGTTGATCAGCACCTGAGGGATGTGCCATGCATTCGACTTCATTAAGTATCGTTGGAAGTGATTGAATGCATATCTCGTCTATACAATGACTCGCGGTGGCCTACCGATGTATTGAGCCAGGGCTGCTATCCTCCCAGACAAGTTTGGTACCAATTTGCAGACCTCGGAAAGATGGAAGGCTTGGTGGAGCATGGCCGCGCAGATCGATTCCACGTGTGTCGCAGTGGCGCTCCCAACCATTGCGCCACACTTGCCATTATTAAAATAAGACGATAAAAATAAGGCAGTTATGTCACTTTCGTAAGTTCAAAATTTCAACCTAGCCAAGTGGAGAACTTGCACCGTGCAAACTTTGATCTCCAGATCCTAACGCTGCTGTTTCAACTAATCCATAACACTTTGCTACGGTACTTCGTGGCTTCCCTACCGATTACGAGCAATTTTGACCTTCTGCCTTCTTGGCAATAAAAATAATCTTTCAACGACTAGAGTGGTTTTCCTCCCAACTGTTCACCGCCTCATTGTGGCTGAGAGGTGTCTACGGGTGTCGCGCTGCGATGTACGGCGGGAGGATTAATCCCCTCGGCAGGGCCTCCCAAGCTGAGGAGTCCGGCGCTTCCATCAGGAACCCCGGGCAAGAGTAAGCCAATGCAGGATCCACCACCGTTCTGGTATCAAATTATTCGCATGGTGACAAATCTCTCTCTGATCCACAAGTGCACTGGCTGCTGTGGTGCTGGCGATATGGGGCAGACTTTGGCCTGGCTGACCTCGGGACTCCGGGGAACCACAGCGGGTAAACCAGCAAAACTCATAAAAGTGGAAATTGCGTTGGAGCTGCCACAATCAGTGAAGACGGAACATCCAAATATCCATGTAAGGGTGTTATCTGTTTTACTTTTTATTTTCTGCCTAGTTCACAGCAGGATACTGAGCGAAATACAACCACAATGTTGCTGAGACATTTGCAAAATTCTAGACCACAGGTGTCTAAGGTGGCCAAGGACCCGCATGGTGTGCTGGTGAACGCGTTACTCCCCGGAAAGGACAATGGCGCGTTCGTTCCCCACCTTAGACACGTGTGGTCCAGAGTTTTGCAAACATAGTGTTTTCATTGTTGTGAATACGACAGATTTGCAGAAGAGACTTTGCCTCGTCGTTTTTAAGAATGAATGATATGTATGCTACCATTTCTCCTGTGTTACTATGGCTCATTACGAAAATGCATTGGTGTCAGCATTTTAAAGAATTTTGCAAAACACGTTTGGTCCACTTCGATGCGTTTACATACATACATTCCATACGATGACCACAGCGATTAAAATGAGAGAACAGTTCACTGTTAGTCAAATTATCAGCTAATGAATTTTTTTCGAGAAAACTTCCTGTAAATCATTAGGTTTAAAGGACGACTTTTCCTATCCCACCCCTATAGTTTTGATCTGCTTTTGATTAGCTCTTGAATGAGTAAACACATTGGGGTGGAAAAAACTTCTGGAATCCACTGAATTTTATATGGACACTGTAGTTCCTATATGGGAAAAGCATTGCAGAACTGATACATTGCACAATACTTACTTGCTTGCTTGGATCTCGCACGGTCCCTCCTCACTTGTGCGAGCCGCGGCATAATCTCCACTTTCTCGGAGTTTTGGTGATTTAGCCATTGCGGTTCTCCGGAGTATCGTCCTCAGCCAGGTTAAAATCTGCCCCAGGTCGTCACCACCACAGACAGTCGCAGCCTTTTTGGATCAGAGGGGATTTGCACCACGCGACTAATTTGATACCAGGACGGTGGTGGATCCTAATACTGGTTTACTCTTAGCTGGGTTTCGTGACAGAAATGCCGGACTCCTTCTCAACTTGGGAGACCTTGCTAGGTGGATGAATCTCCCTCAGTACATCGCAGCCCGACACCCACCAACACCTCCCAGCCACGAGGCGGTAAAGCGTTGGGAGGGAATACGAAATTGACCTGCACAATCCTGTTGCGGCCTGTCGACGTATCCAGCCGGTGTCTTTTTTATTCCTCTGGATATGACAAGCATTGTCAACCTAGCGGGATGGAAAGCTTGATTAGTCCAGAGCACTAGATCGAGCCACCAGCGAACTATGTATTCCAGGGCACCCATAACTGCTGCACTACATGAACCCTACGCCAAACTACAGGTGATTGGAATTTTAGCGTGCTAAACCACTGTAACTTGGTGAAGTGCGGAAATAATTTTGCCGCCTATTTTTCTTCAATGATGCTGAGATGTTGGCAAAACTCGGGACCACAGGTGTCTGCGGTTATTAACATTCTAAACATTGTGAATTCAACTACAGCCTCAGCTTAACTGGGTTCAATGCCGATTTGGGCTACCCAGATCAATCCTGTTGACAGGTGATTGCTGATAACAAGTGATCGATAGAACTAGTTGAAAGACAGGCGAAACGAAGGACCCGCATGGTGTGATGGTGAATGCGCTACTGCCCGGAAAGGACAATAGCACGTTCGTTCCTCACAGCAGACACCTGCAGCCTGGAGTTTTGCCAATATCTCAGCATCATTGAAGTTATATTTCGCAATATACCCTGCCATTGAAAAGAGTAGGCAGTAAATAAAACGGTTAAGATTGCCGATTATTCTGTTTCTTTCATCTCTAAAACGATGAGGCTTAGCTTGCCTAGTTATGTATCACATAGCGGACTATGCCAGTTTATTTCCAAATAATTTCTTCCTGATTGGGGCAGCCCGTGCGGATCCGATCTTATTCGAAGGCAGTGCGTTTCGACGGAACTATCAAGAAACACTGGACGGCAATCGGAACTTAGTTATCACGAAATATCACAAAAGCGAAACCATCGATATAAAATCTGGAACGAAGTCTGCACTGCAGAGAAGTACGTAATGTGGATGTAGCGCTATAAAAATTTGCTTGAAAGTTAAAAGTCAAAGTTCGAACCGAAGGAATAGACTTATTTCTCCAAATGGACCCACAGTATGCCATTATTTCTTTATTTTAGTTTTTATATACAATTTCCTTTAATCTTTAATCCTTAATGGCATTTATTCTATGTTGAATTTCTTCGTCGGAAAGTAGTAAAGTTATGAGCACATCATCGTCTCGCCTCTGAAATAACATCTCGCCCTCAAAGCACACCATTCGATGCTTACGAGCACATAGAAGCATACCAACGACCTGGAATACAGTGTTTATAACACACAAACGATCGCATGCATTCGTACCATTGCATAGGTCGGTGGCAAGATTGTGCCGTTTGCATCGATTTCAATGCATACTCTATCCGACTGTTTATTTTGCTGCATAGAACTTAGTTGCTGCACTTTTTGCAGTTGATTGATAGCTTATCCAATACACATCTTGTGCTAAATTTTATCTATGAGCGATTTTTTTCTACATTTGTTAATATACAAATACTTCCTGGGTCTAATTTCCCAGTGCACACTGGTGAGGCGCCAAGCTGGTGTCACACAAAATTGGGCACAATCCTGGTTTTCCTAGTTGATGTTTAGAACTCAGGATCATTTTATTGCTAGAATTCTGTAGTGGCGAACCTATAGTGGGTAGATTTTGATCTAAAAGTATATCAAAGTTGCACAATAAAGCAGCTTAATGTCCAACAAAAGTAATTCGCTGTTCGACAAGGGCACGCGCAACACACTAGTTGGACGTAACCTACCATCCATACTGTCTTTGGTCCGATTCCGCGCTCCTACTAACCAAGCTCCACTAACTACAGGGTCTGCAAAACTGATAGCAAAATAGTGTGAGAGTTTGAAAACACAGGCAATGAGCTATCCCAAGGACACAGATCAATGCCGGCCACTTCATCATTCTATCTCTTCTATTGAACCATATGGAATGACATAATAGTTAATAAATACCCTGTGCGAAATGATTTCCTGTTGATACAACAACATTAATGGCAATGGCACATTGGCCAGAAGTATCCTCCCATGCACACCTGGCTGGTTCGAACCCTCCCCTCGGCCTCGACAACCATTCCATCACGAGTTAGGCAAATTAGTATCCGACTTCTCTAAGAAGACAGCAGCACCTACTTGGTACATCGAAAGGCTCCCGTAAGTCAGTGTATAGGCCAGATACGCATTCATTCACCTTTACGATGCTTTGTGTAGTCGAATTCATGGTACCTTCCTTGGTATTAATCAACGCCGAATGCTTCTTCCGTTATCCTTCATTTATTACAACATTACGTCCACTACAAACCGAATATGGTAGAATGCTTTGCACTGATCAATCTGACACGCATGTGGCTACGCCTAAATTTGCCTAGACGACACTTGTGACAAGGTCTAATTTCTTGCCTCACAAGGTGTCCATTTAAACCCTCAGAAAAGGGCTTTTCGAGAAATCTTAGGTGTGAAGAATAGCTTTTCATGGACCATTTTGACACATTATCTACGTTGGATAAACCATCGATTTAATAGAAAGGATATCACTTCGGATCATTTTCACCGCTTGTGTGAAACGGGATATTTTTAGCACAGTCCTTTCGACTGCGCGTTCAATCACGCCGAGTGATCTTTGATCCCGCTTACGTAGCGACCAGCTTTCCGACGCATGCGTTAAGGCACGGAGAATATCAGAGTTGAAAAGGTTGGGCACGGAGTCGATGTTCTTTGTTCTCTTCATTACATCCTCGATGCTCTTGAGGGCTCCCCAAGCCGCTCGTTTCCTCTGCTCAACTCTGGAGCTAAGCCGTTCATTATATTGATTTCCCGATCTAGATAGAAGTAGCTGGAGCATTCGGACACATTCGTTCATGTAAGTGTGAATAGGACATATGAAACCAATTCATTCTTCATGAACATCGTTTTTGTGAGAATTAGTCGGAGACTAATCCTTCCACCACGCCATCGAGGTTGACAAACATTCGATCCTGTCGGCTAATGCTTGATATTATAAGAGTGATGTCATCCACAAAGCGAAAATGGTATGATTGCCCAGCATCGATTTTCACTCCCATGTTGTCCCGTTCAAGTGTTCCCATGACGTTCTCGAGGGTAAGGGTAAATAGTTTTGGCGAGATGATTTCGCCTTGTTTCATCTCTATAGACAGGTAGCGTGTAAAAAGCTGAGCGAGTGTGTTTACGAGGACTGGTAGAAGGTGTTCTTCAGGTGTTCAGTTCCTATCCTGTCCGGACCAGGTGCTGTTCGATTTTTCACCGAAGAAATGATTTCGGAAGGGAGAACCGGTGGTACAACATATCCATCCTCCTTTATTTCATACGACGGGAGGTGGACGTGGCTATCGAAGAGACCAGCTTAGTACTCGTGAATGATTTTCTCCATTGCCTTCCTCGACGCTGTAACTGGGTGTCGGAGTGCAATCGTCTTGGTTCGGGAATTGCCGAAATTTCAGAGGATTTAGCAAATGCTTTTCCCCTCCTCTGCATTTTCGACCATAACAATTTTGTTGTCTCCCCAAAATCTTCTATCGCCCGTTTGCAATCTTTTGCAAGTTCCGAAATGCGTTGGCGGCTAAATGTGGCTCCTGTGGTTCCACATTAGCGTACCAGCTCGAATGTATTTGGAGACAGACGTCTTTTGTAGAATTTCCAATTCTCAGCCTTCATACCGCTAACGTGAGGATGATGAATGAGCCGATTGTTTTCCTTGCATACCTTATCTAAGATGGCATCTTCCACTAATGAACTGAATAAGTCCCAGTTTATGTTGGTCTCGGGCCTTGGTTTTTTGAATATATCGGCGTTTCCTCCTTTCCATGAGGGATGGAATTTTGCACGAAGGTGGCGATTATCTAATCCCGTGTAAAATTTTGGGACAAGAGCGACATCGGTTATGATGCAAAGCTTTCGATTTACTATTATTTGGTCTATTTCGTTATGGTACTTTCCACTGAAAAATTACCATATCCAGTGTTGACGGTGGGACTTCTGGAATTGCGAGTTACCATGAATGGTCGTGGTCGTCATGATAAACTAAGAAAGCCGACTACTCCGCTCATTCCATTCTATTCCGTGGTTCTCCTAACGTAACGTTCTTCAAACATTCTTCTGACCCCAGTCTTAGCGTTAAGACCTTCAATGATGACCTAAGTGCATATGTCGTCTCTCCTGTAGAACTTCTCAAAGTTCATATAAAATGCTTCGACATCATCTTTGTCATGGCCTGATGTCGGTGCGCAGACGACGAAGATTGTCGAAACCGGTGTTGATCCACATCACTTTACTCATAAATGTCCGTTTCGGTTGTTAGCCGTTAGAATGTATCGATGTTCATAACCAAATTCGTGTTTCAAATAACGTCGTCGCTGCCGACTCCATTGATGTCGCATGCTCCGAGGAACAGTTCTTCTCCGGTGTCATAGACGGCCTTGAATGTGTGGCATTTTCTTGTTTCGATCAGTCCGATTACGTGAACCCTGTCCTTCTGGCTTGCATGATCAAGCTTTCTATCGAGGCCTCAGATGCAAGTGTGCGTGCATTGTATGAACAGATCGTCAGCTTAGTTCTTCGTTATCCAGGCAGCTTCTATTGGCTCTACGATTTTAGCAGCCTTTTCGTACTCGTCCTACACAACGCTGCCGAATCAGAGGCTCCTTCGCGATCAGGGGAATGAAGCCCGTTTATTTTACTGTGTTTAGCTTTTTGATAGCCACGTATAACTTGCTGAGCTCTGAATGTAGGGGCTGGGTTTACTCACGGGTAGCCTGCCAGTCTCTCTCAAAATAGACGGAGAGCTTATTTGTTGGGAACGACTCATTACCGCCTCCCATACAACTACCTGCTGCTTGATCGCAGGCTTTCGGCTGAATTGACTCGTAGAATACAATCTGAATAAACGAAAACGCACTCATACACACATGCAGAAATACGCGCTCGTAAACACAAATGGCATGTGACAAATCGGCGCAGCGGAAACAGGAACTCCATTCCTTGCATTCGCCTGTGGCTCAGGGAACCCATAAGGCCGCTTTTGGTCCGAGATTAAACCGCTATCCACCACCTGGGGACGCGCCAAGTTGCGTACCGAATAACCGCTATAAGATTCCTCGATGAGGAAGAATACAAAAGGTACAGTAGAAAAAATCGTTTCAAAATAAATCATTAAACAATATGAATAAATAAACAGTCGGAAATAGCATGTATTGAAATCAAGTTATGTGGTAATTTATGCGGAATGAAGTAGGATTTTATCCCACTAACAAGATGCCTCCGTTGTTCCAGTATAAACTAACTTTATCGGAGATGTTTTCATACACGGTGAACAGCTTGCCGAATGTAATTGTCACCCGGCCATCCTTTGATAGACATCCATATTCCCGTATCACTTGACACAAATGCAACATTTCTTTAGCGATGTGTTTCGCTAAAAAACATTATCATACCATTTAGAGAAAGTCATGTGCACCTTCTTTTTGATAACAAAGATGCCACATTCACAGAAATGATTGAAAGATCGGCCACCGTATGAGACCATGTAAATGATTCCTTTTCTCGTCTCTATCGGTCAGTTCATAGCACGTTTGTCTGTCTTTTCATATTTACGAAGAGAACATGAATCTACCGTATTAAAGTAACGATGTTTTCCCTCTAAGGAAGACCCGGTGTTCATCCTCTTGAACGAAAACTAACATGCTTTCTTAGCCCTCATCTCGGTGAGCGTTCCGGGTTTCGGCCTTCCATATTCGGCAGAATTTTTCGAGTATCTCTTCGGAAGGTAGTTTGTTGAATAAACATCGTCCTTTCTATTCTCCAATTCTTCTTGTTCGAGTACTCGAAACCTGAGCATCGCTTGACCAATCTTTGGGGCTGAAAAAGAAGTAGATTTCATATGAACTTCACTTCATCAGTTCTAAAGCGCTAGTAAATATTTATATACTTTTTCACAGAAGTTATATTAAAACTAATTTTAACCATTTCCTATGGAGTAGATACGATTAAATTTCTGATTTCTGCTCAAATTCAACAGAATTTCGCTTGAACAACCTGTATTTACGAAAATTTCATAAAATTGGAAGTCGTTTGGAAGTTCCATTGGCTTATGGAAGCCAGGAATTCTAACATAGTCCGCTTAAAAAGGTTCCATAGTGAGACAGATTTTCACGTAGAGAGATTTCTGGATTTCTTTCTGAAAATTTTTATTATGCCTTAGAAAGGGCGTATGGTAAAGTGGTAGTGATGTCATACATAAAGACTGCTGGTTCGACGCATCATGGAATCCACCAAGCTCCTCATCTTTCCGAGATAGAGAAATTGTGCACTTGTTTGGGAACACTTCATTCCGTGCAGTTTATGTGGGAACGCTCTAGCCTGGTTATCCGAGGCATACAGTAAGATGGACTCGACCACCACTCTGTGATATTTATGACGAAGACGTCAATCCTCAAGCAGCATCCGAACCCACAAAGCTGGTGAATCTTTGCGAACAATGGATTCGGGAAAACGAATCGAATGCATCCGCGCAGCGGATGCGAAGATGTGTTCTGTGGAATAAAAAAAAAATGTGTTTTCGCCGTTGAAGGAGAAAAATAACGTAAATGCGAAGTAAAGGTAAGCCAGCCCATATATGTGGGGTCTCATGTCATAATAATAAGGAAAGGATCTTCCCACAAGACCATTGAAGTAGTTTTTTAGAATAAAACCTAGTATGCCTCCCAACGGTTTACTGCCTCATCGTGGAAGTGTGGTGTTCCTCGGTGTCGGAATGCGATTTACAGCAGGGAATCCATTCTCCCAGCTGAGAAGGAGTCCTGCGTTTCCATAAGAAAGCCTAAGAAAGCCCAACCATGAGTAAACCAATACCAGGATCCACCAGCGTCATGATATCAAACTAGTCATGTGGTAGGAAATTTCCTCTGATCCACAAGGACGGCTACTGCCTTTAGTGGTAGCGACCTGGGGCAGACTTTGGTTAAGCGGGCCTCGAGAACCACAATGGCTAAACTACGAAAACTCCAGAATAGTGAAAATTATGTTGGGGTCCGCACAACCAGTGAAAACGGGCCACCCAAGTATTCAAGTAACTAAAACATAACACGACATAGATTGGAAAAGTTTTTTCTTGCGTTGAAATATTTCAGATATTTATCTTTATTCTAAACAGTACTGAACTAAATCCAAATTTTTCGGAAAAAGAATGAAAGACATTGGTATGGATGCGTTAAAATGTTTACAGAACGGAATAGATAGTTTGCATGCTTGAAAACAGAATGAATGGGTGACAGCCAGTTAAGAAACAACAGCGCATCGTAGACGAACGGTGAAGGTGGAACGTTCTTCGCAAAGGCGAACTTTAGAGAGCAACGTACAGATGAAAAGTGGATGGTCTGCACACTTGAATGGGAGCAAATTTTAGTGATTCTTTGTCGAGGGAAAGAAAAATATCGAACACTTTTAAATAATTGAGGGAATCTGGATGCCATTAATCTTCACTGACAAATCGGAAGTGCAGGGTTCCATCGAAACATGGCATGACATGACAGAAGGAGTGATGACAAGCTGTTAGCAGAATGCGGACTGGCAGAGATGAAAGAAGAAGAGAAAGCGAAAACAATACAGGCAACGATTACGGTAAAATTAGCCCACTTTCTGCAAAATAGTATTGTCTTCAAAAGCAAATTATGAATCCTTTGATCTCAAAGCTCCATAGCTCGTAATACTATTTTGTACTAAACTAAATTCGTCCATCCATTAGAATATAGGACTTGGTTGTGTAACTCATAAGTTCATAATTTTACAATCGAGATTGTGGTAAGTCTGTCATTCGCATTTTTTCTTTAACTCCTATATATCTTCTCAAGAAAAAATAACGATGGAAGGTAAAGCTTCTTATTTTTCGTATGTGCTTCATATTCATATATTGTTCGTCGTACAGAACTCTTCAGTTAGAAATAGGGATAGGGATAGGGATATAAAGGAAGGCAAACATGCGAAGGAAAAATCATTTGAGGAGAAAATACGGTAAGTAGGGCTCATTCAGAAGAGGTCGTCGAATTCCAGGCCGCGACGGTGACTGTTGAAGTGCACGTCGACTTCCATCATAGTCGCCACTTCAGTGATGAACATGTAAGAAAAATTGTTTAAATTAGTTAGAGATCATCCAATAGAGTGGAGATGAGAAAGAATGTTAACTTTTTCCAGAACAAAAAAATGTGTTAATATCCGGCTAGCCAAAAAAGTTTGAAAACAGCCCTTTCATTGAAGGAATAAGCCGAACAACAGTAAAAAAATCAACCTGTGCTCGAATTGGTCGCTTTGTTTGTCTCACCATTTAACAGCTTTTCTGAAGCTACCTGAAATGTGGTTCCTGGCGGTGTTAGTCGCATCACAATGGCGGTTAAAAGTGAATACGCCATCGTGTGACTCTACCGCTGAGATCAATAGAAGTTTTTTGTTTTCGCATACGGTTTGTAGTATCAGGTCACTCTCTTTGTCTTAACATTATCTATGGACCTCAACATGGAATTCAACACAGTCACGGAACGGAGCGTTCTAAATAAAGGCGGACTTCCAAATGCCAAATGTCTCGATTTATTCGAATATTTCGAATAAGTGGGTGGGTAGCAAAGTGGTAGCAACGCCGATCCTCACTAGAACGGTGTTGGTTCGAGTCCACACTAGGCTCACCAAGCCTCTTTTCCCTCCGGAGTCGAGAAATTGGTAACAGATTTTCCTGGAAAGAATTAACACTCTGCAATCTAAGTGCTAACGCTCTATCCCAGCTATTTCTAGGCTCCAGAGAAAATCACTCGAGCAGCATTCAACAACATTCATAATGAAAGGAGAAATCCTTAATCAGCAGCCGAACATACGCGTAAGGACTTAAAAGACCTTAGTGGATGATAGAGAAAACAAATCGAATGTGAGAAGTGCAGGGATACGCACAACAGATGCGAAAGACGTACAGTGTAAAAAATCCGAATTTTGTTAAACAAAAGAAGTATGTAGACGTAAGTAGAAATACGGACACTTAGTAGAAATAAAGCAACCACGCCAACCTTACTCAACTTGTTAGTAGATTGTTTAGTACTTCCTTGTTTCCCATCACTTCTTTTCAGCACTTCCTTGACCTGCTTTGACACGCCAATAAGAGGTGGTTTACCAGCAACTGAAATTTAAATTCGTAAATGAAAATACTTAGGGTACTTGTAATGCAGGCGATAGGGGTATACTACATTATACACGTTGCCGTAGATTCGATTCCATGCCCTGGGGCAACCAAAACCCCATCACCACGCGTTCGGCTCATTAAATGCAAACATTATACCTGTAGCCCCTTGCAAGTAGTCCCCGCAAGCCGCCGCTTTTCAAAAGGCAAATGCGTATCCACATACCTTAGCGGTGCCTAATAGAGTTTGCATAGCTCATCGCTTAAGCATTGAATAAAGCCGAAAACCTTTCCGTCTTAAAAGCCATCCCTACATGATTTTTTATGATAGTGAACTTATTTGAAATCAACCAACAACCCAGTGACTTTCAGAATCTTTCAGACTAAGCATGTTAACTCCTATTTAGTTTCTTGGTTTAAATTTGATGAGATAAGTTAACTTGCCAACCATAGTAGGTTATTAGAAGAAATGGTTCTGGTGTTTCTATATAACTTAAATTTACAGATCTAAGTATATGTGTATCTGCAGTGCGTCTGTGGTAGATTAGAACATAGTCTTATCTGATTTTCTGGGATAACCACAGTGAGTCTGTCTGCGTAGCAGTGGGTACAGATGCGTTGCAAAACATATATGGTCCCTGGTTCGATCCTTCAATTCGGATTTAACAGGACTCTTCTCACACAGAAGTCGGGAAATTGGCTCCAAATTTGTCTAGAATGATAAGAACAATGACTTAACATATCGGTAGACTCCCACAAGTTATTGTGTGGACTGACGAATCCAATGACCTCTAATTCAATATAACCGGGCTTAGTGGAGCTAAATGTACTGGGCATCACGAAAATCACTTGATCAACTGTGAATATTTTATTCTGCTCTCTAATCGGAATACACGAAAACCTCTGAAACTTAAGTAACACTGCCAAAGCAACAACTCACTTGATTCAATAGTAAATGATAATACGATGGTGCTCGCTGGTTTTTCAGATTTTCGAATATTCATCGTTGTAGATCCTGAATCGCGACATTGTGGAGGCATGGCAATTCAGACGACGAATAGGAGCAGCCGAATGATGAGGAGTTCTTACAACGTGTGTGGAGGTTTCTATAGTGTTGCGCGGGAATTGTAATGTCTCATCTCGTCTCGTTAAATATTGCGACCCCTCTATAGCCCTTCACATAGTGTACACTATTGAATATACGAGGATTACAAGGCGTCGCTCCGTCACTGACGAGAAATCACTCGACCAGAGTCATGCTATTTCATGAGCTACGTTAGTCTCACCCCATGCGAGATTGTTCAAAGAGTGTAAAGAGAAAACACCTGTGATCAGTACTCACTTCATTGAACTGACTTCGGAACTTCTACATTCTGCGTTCACGATGCGTTTTTATCTTTAAGAAAATAAAGCAACCGCATAGAAATATTAGGTTGTAACATATGAAAAGTCCGATTTTACTGTTTTAAATTTTTGAAGCACAAAATCTACCCCTTCTAACGGTTCCAATGATCGACTTTCTATTGACCTCGGCATTGAATTATAAATATCTTGTTTTCTTTCTCAGCAATTGCGAGGTTGCTATTCAGCACACGTTTACTTCCTTACACGGAGAACAATACAGCGGTAGCTGACGTTTTGGCAATGTCGCCTTCTTCGGAGTCTGGAAGGGCACAATGATTTACACAATTAAACGACCATCTTTCACCTGTAGGTAATTTTGT